TATTTTACCTTCACTCGAACTTCATGGCTTCTTGGGGGGGCCACCTCCACCTCCTCAATGGAAGGTGTTTTGCCAACTTCCCAGATGACTGCTGCCTTGCATTTTATTACCTGCACAGAAGGACATGGCAGCAAAATGGGTCAGAGAGTGAGTCAGATATGTCCTCCATAATGGTTTTGTGAGTAAAAAAGCAAAGAAAGCATGTGTTCTGCTTTTTGGGTGACCAATTCTCACCTAGCCACGTGTGCTTTGTAACATCCTGCCTTTTGAGCCCATGTCATCAGAATGTATAGGTTAAACGCTGAGCTTGGAAAAGTTATTTTGGGGGACTGGAATTCCCAGAAATCCTCCAGCCAGTGTATATCCTAGCCAAGCGAGGCAGAGAGTTGCAGTTTGAACAGTAACTATTCCAAGCCTTTCACATTTGCTCGGGTTAGGGGCACAGGACCACCGCAAAAGTTGTAATACCATAAATAAAAAAATACTTTTTAAAAATCTGATACAATTCCTATCTTGAAATCCCTAGGTCTTCCATTGCAACTCTCTGGGCAATATCCACCAGAGGTTGATCATAATTATACTAAAGGATCTCGAGTTTTCTAACGAAACAGTATTAATCAAAACCACAAATAATCAAATGGACAAAAGCTAAACCCACAAATGTGGAAGTTTAACTGAAAACTTTTACAGAGAAGTGTCTTGTAAAAAAGACCAGCATGGACAGCATGGAGCTCCCGCTGGTGCAATGGGTTAAACCCTTGTGCCGGAAGGACTGAAGACTGTCAGGTCGGAGGTTCGAATCAGGGAGAACGCGGATGAGCTCCCTCTGTCTGCTCCAGCTCACCATGCAAGGACATGAGAAAAGGCTCCCAGAAGGATGGTAAAACATCCGGGCGTACTCTGGGCAAGGTCCTTGCAGACAGCTAGTTCTCTCACACCAGAACCGACTTGCACTTTCTCAAGTAGCTTCTGACACACACACACACACACACAAATGGACAGAAATGTTTTCGAAATTGGTATTTTGCCTCCTTTTTGCTTCCTCATCATTATGCAATGGTGAGGAAGCAAAAGTTTCCTGTTTTTTTTCCTGTTCCTGGTCTTTGTTGAACTGGTTAGTTTTGTTCTGTAACTTTCAGTTGCAAATCACTGGGCTGTTATCAATATGATAAAGTAGCATTTATCTATCTGTACAAACATTTTTCTCATGTTTCGACAGTGTTTGACATGGACAAGATTTGAAAAGTTGTTTAACACAATTTTTTAAGTGGCATAATTTGTTGCAAATGAAAAATAAATAATGCTTTTTGGATGTACTTGTGCCAAGAATGCATGGAGAGAAGGATGTTTTAAGAAGTTGGGAAAATATCTAATTTAAGAAGCGGTAGTTTGCAATGAAAATTTATTTGCGGTTATACCACTTCCTAAACTGCAGATGAATAGGCCAAGGAATTTCTCTTGGATGTTGGGAGCCATTTCACACTTCAGAATTATAGCATTATGATTACACTTTAATGGCAATAGTTCCATCCTATGGAATCCTGGGTTTGTAGTTTGATGAGGCATTAGAGGGCAGTTCCAGACAGGGGAATAGTCTGGTCTGACCCGGATTTAAAAAACTGGGGTCAAGTGGGACTTCAGTCCCTACACTGGCAAAAAAACCAATGCTTTCCTGGGGTGGGGGGTGTCCAAATGCCCTGGCAGGGCACCCAGACACAAAAGAAAATCACCCAGAAAAGCCTTAAAAAGAGAAAATAACTTACCTGGCCAGCATAAACTAACTTACTCAACAAAGTTGGTAGCATTCATTCTCTCAATTGGTCCCTAAGGTGTTTTGCATGCTGATATTCCTGACCAACATGACTATGTCTTTGAATTCAGCTTCCTATACTAAAAAACAGATTCCATAAGATAGATCCCTGAAATGTAAAATAATAATCATAGCCCTTTAAATGAGTAACACATAAGGTTTCCTGGTTGCAGACAACCCATTCCTTGCTGTGCTAGAAACCTGTTGAAGCATTATTAAAGTTTAGGTCAGAGTGGAAGAATAAAGTGGGACCCTGGATTTACTTCCAAAGTAATTAATATAATGGACAAAAGATATGTCACTTGCAGGTGAAAACACTTCCAACACAATTTGCTCCCAACCATTCTTATTTATGCATCTAAGTATGTTATATTAGAAAGGCTTGAAAAAGAATGAAACTTTTGTGCTGTCTCTCATTATATGCATTGTGTCTCTCAGCAGAGCTACCCCAAGTATTGTGTATTGCCACATTTTTGTATCCTGAGGGACATTATATATGCATGAAAACGTACAGGGTCAGATGCCTGAAATTAAACAATTTTATCTCTTTAGAGAAGAGCAAACTACAGATCACCTGCTGCAATGCAACCTGAGCCCTGCCACATGCACAATGGAGGACCTCCTTGCGGCAACACCAGAGGCACTTCAAGTGGCCAGCTACTGGTCAAAGGACATTTAATCAACTACCAAACTTGCAAACTTTGTGTTTTGTTTGTTTGTTTGTTAAAACATGTAACACAACTGTTTGGTCTGCTCCTGACACGATAAATAAATCTCTTTAGTCAGGCCTATAATTTGAACCTCCCTGCGTTGATTCAAATGCTTATCTAGTTTGTTATGATACTGCCAATATATCACACATTTGATTTTTTCCTGTTTTCCTACTTGGGATTCTTTAGAAGGGCATTTGAGATGGATCGTTTATGGGCTTATAATAATTCTATGTATCTGGGCTATGATTTAGGCTGTTCAAAAGAAGAACTCTATTAGGTAGGTCAGTATTATTATGCCCACGTATTCAGATAAAAAAGAATGACTTATGGAAGGATCTCAATTGAGTTCTTGTGCAAGTTAAGATTTGAAACAATTCCAGAACTTGGTTTCTGGTTCTTCTAACACCTGTGTACTGAGCAACATTAGCTCTCAGCATTATTTGAATAGTCTACATTAGTCCTATTCACTGTGAGATTACAGGAAAGAAATAACCAACTGTAGTCAATTGGTACCAATATGGTACCAGTTCTTGGCACACTGGGATTGGGAAGTATTCTGCTAGTCAGATACTTTAAGAAACATCAGTCTCAGCTACATTTCCTATTCTTATTCACTTACAGATCAAACTTCTGGATCCACCAGGAGAGATCCACAACTTCCGTGGATTCACTTTTAGACCATAAAGTGTATCCACACAATTATTTATCAAACTCACAGAAGGCAATGAGAAGTTTTTTTCTGATTTCTTCCATTCTAGAAGTGATTTAATAACTGCAAACTGTAAACAGCTGCTAGTCATATAGATGTAGGAAGACCCATAAGAAAAATCTTGACTTACCTTCCCCACAGTTGCCATCTGTACTAGGATCCCTTTAAGTCACTCCACAGTCTTCTCTACAAATGTGTTTCTTGAGTATGAATCCAGAGATAGCCAAAAAATGCTCTCACATCCCAAAGAGCACACAATTATATAATGTACAGGTAGGAAAGGGTAGGGTGCAACAGCAGCTGTGATACAAAGTTCTTCAATGACCACAAAGTCTTTGACCCAAGTTCACCCTCTTCTGGAACCATTTAAAGTTAATGATTATAAACTGCTCCAAGTTTAACAGTGCAATTGATCTTCTGGTAGTTCCCTCACACATAGATGGGTTCTCATGACTTTGAGTTGCCATTTTAAATTTCTCATAATGTCTGACACTGATGATAGATGGTGGGCTACATGATATGTAGATGGGACTTCAGCTCTGTATTTATCAGGTGCAGTGCTAATGGCTCTGAGATGCCATTTTAAATTTCCCACAATGTTGTGAAGTGGTGCTATGCTGGGTGCATTCTGGGGGCCCTTCCACACATCCCTATATCCCAGAATATCAAGGCAGAAAATCCCACATTATCTGCTTTGAACTGGAACATATGGCAATGTGGACTCAGATAACCCAGTTCAAAGCAGATATTATGGGATTTTCTGCCATGATATTCTGGAATATAGGGCTGTGTGGAAGCACCCTGGGTTATCTGAGTCCACACTGCCATATAATCCAGTTCAAAGCAGATTTGCTAAACTGGATTATATGGCAGTGTAAAAGGACCTGAGTCTCTCCTTGGAGTAGGAGAGGTATAAACCAATCAGATTACACAGTCTAACAACATTTTTTTTCTTGATATCTTGGTTTCTAGGCCTGTTCTTGGGGTTATTTGGAGAGCTGATTTAGAAAATTGCATTGGATAGACCACATCAGTTCTAGTTTCTTAGATATGGTGTGTCGACTGACTGGAAACTTAGAATCATAAACATGTGCTTTCGGTATTAAATAAGTAAACTGAGACTGCTTCAAAATAGAGGATGGTGAGGACAATGAGCATATTTAGCACCATTGGGATGGGGAGTCCCTGTAGGGACATACCCAAGGCCAACCCGGCATTGGAGGCACCAGATCTTGCCCTGATTATGGGTCACTGTAGAACCAGCCAGTAGTTGCTTCCTGATAAGCGGAGGTTGAGAAATTCATGCTGGCAGTTAATGTACAGTTCCATAACTGTGGTAATTACACACTCAAAAATTCGTAATGGGATTCTGGCCAAAGGGTTTAAGAAGTACTTGACCTGACCAGTTCTTTCTCATTTTCAACTGCACAGTCAGGTTTCAAATTCCACCATTTTTACCCTTTAGCACATTTTGTACCCAACAACATAACAACCCTCCCATCAGACCTTTTTATCTACAGCTCTAAGACACATGACAGCAATTCTTAAAGTTTCTACATGACCTTTCTAACCTTTCCAGGACAATAAATTATTAGAACAAAGTGGCAGTGGAGGAGTGGCTAGGTTTCTTGGGTTGTATCTTGGAAAATACTTCATATATCTGAAAAACAAGCCACATTTTTGCAGCAACTACTTTAAAGAATAACTTTCATCCATCTAGGAGGACAGAAGTATTGAAACCTAAAAGACAGGCTTATACACTAGAAGCATGAGCACTGTAGGAAAAGTAAGTAGACGTCTTCTGTTAACATTGCTTTCTCTCTCTCATGAGTATGTGTATAATATGTGTGTGTGTGTGTGTGTGTATGAGGGTTATTCGGAAAGTCAGGTTACAAGATTTTTATTAAAATGCAAAAATATATTTAATAAAACTTACATGGATTGTAACATAGGTATTACATTATTTTTCCATATAACCACCATTCAGTTAAATACATTTTGTCATCTATGGGATGAGTTTTTGAAGCCTGTGTCATAGAAGTTTCCTTCTGCCTTTTTAAGCCAGTTCATCACTTCGATTTTCACCTTGTTGTCATTGGGAAAGTGTTTTCCACCAAGGTGTTCCTTCAATTTGTTAACAGATTATAGTCACTGGGTGCGAGATCAGGGCTGTGAGAGGGGTGGCTTAAAATATCCAAACCAAATTAAGTCAACAATTCTTGTGTTGCATGAGTGGTGAGTGGACACGTGTTGTAATTAAGGAGACAGATTCCCGCTGTCAGCATCCCACGGTGTTTGTTTCGGATGGCTTTTTTTCATAGTCTCACAATAAATTCCACACCCATTTTGTTGCTTGCTGTCTTGATATTACGTCCTCTCCATAAACTGAAACAATTTAGCAATAAATCACATAAGTGTTCATGCCCTTAGCATTTAGGTAGCATATTACAGTGCGAACTTCGCACTTGGAGGGAAACGGGATGAGGATGCTCATCTCTAACCTTCACAACACCAGTCGATGAGCTACTGACGACTGGCACTGCTCGTTCATTTCCGCTGGCTTCCTGCTACACGGCAGTGATACCTACCTCTTCTGGAGAAAATTCCCTGTGAGAGCTACATGCCTTGTAACCTAACTTTCTGGATAACCCTCGTGGAAAAATTGATACGTTGTTCTTGGACTAGTAGTAAAGAAACATATGAGGTTCTTCCAAGATTAATATCAGGAATCCTTCTTCTGACAGAAGAAGGAGTCCTGCATTCTTTATTAATGTCTTCCATGGACAATTGTCCATATATTGAAGAATAAAGTGGGAATGAAATGAAGGAATATGATAACAGATTGTTCTGTGTGACGCCGCAGATGTGCAAAACTAGCTTGCAAATAGTAACTGTAGGAGCAGTGTCTTATGGACTGCAAGCTCAAATAGTTTTAGTAGGGAGCAAACAATCCTGGATTTATGAACAAAGGAATTTGCGCTAATATTTTAAGACTTCTAAATTTAAGAGTGCTAAATTTCACATTTTACATAATAGTCAAAATAATATGCACACTTATTCTTAATAATTCTATGAAGTCCACATATGGCTTCGGTAGACCCTCAGCATGCTATAGTTCAACACAGCAACCAAACACCTTTCAGTATTTCAGTAAGCCCCATTATAAACTGCTATTGCAACTCGGTTAAGAACAGCATTCACTGAAGCATGTTTAGAACCATATCCATCATCTTTATTATATACAGAAAATAATTGGGGTGTATGCAATCCTCCAGACAATGTTAGACTGCAGTTTTCATGAGACCCAATCAGAATAGCTAATAATGAGGAATGCTACAAGATTTGGCTCAGACATTCAAATCATCTTGAGGATTGCATGAGTGCCACCATTGCCCCGTTTCTTTTTTCCTCCCCACAGGTCATCAAATGCAAAGCAGCTGTGATCTGGGAACCTAAGACCCCATTCTCTATTGTGGAAATAGAAGTGGCACCACCAAAAGCGCATGAGGTTCGCATAAAGGTAAAAGAGAAAAAAATAAAAATGGATTAGTGCTGATGAGCAGTATTTACTCATACCAAAGTGGCTCTAACTTTGGGTATGGGCATCTGCCTCAGCAGGTAGAGAACAGCTGTCCTCTGCTGTTTCCCTTGAGTTTCCTAATGCATGTTCCTGCCTTCAGATCTGAATATGTTCTGTTGCCATTTCTATACTGAGATAATGTGTAAATGTAGGTCAGGTTTGTTTCCTTATGTGTGTGGTGGGCATTTTAACCACATCAGAAAACAAACTGCATGGAACCATCACTAGTTTTTCAGTTCCATTTATCTGTCACTGAAACTAGCGCTCTTACTCATAGTTAGACCTTTTTCTGGTGAGAATGACCTTTTGTCTCATTTTGCTGGTAAAACAACTGAATATGTAATATTCAGGCCATAACTTTCCAGAACTCAATAGAGATGCAAAAGCATGTAGCAAACTGGAGACAACAGCACATAGTACTACACTGCACCAAAATGACAGTGCAAGAAAGCTCATAAACCTGATCTGATAAACCTTTCAAATATCCCACTAGATTCACCTGGATATATTTAAACAAGAAAAGCATTGAACTTTTCCTCTTATATGCCCCCAAATATTATTCTGGTACCAAAATTCAGTCCTCATGTCAGGGTTTGGTTGCAGGAGCCACAATACGATTTGTCATAACAGCAGTACATTTCCAATCATGGTAGTTAGTGTTGAGATGTCAAGCAATTGTTAAATATCTTTGTCTTTTTTTCCAGATCTTGGCTTCTGGGATCTGCCGTTCAGATGACCATATATTGAGTGGAGGGCTAAAAGTGAACTTCCCCATTATTCTTGGTCACGAGGCAGTTGGTGTTGTGGAGAGTGTTGGGGAAGGAGTTACGAGTGTGAAGCCAGGTATGGCAAAACAAAATAAAATCTTTACTAGTAAGGAGCAATTTAAACTATAGTATCAAGTGTGATACAGCAGCCAAAACAACACAAACAAACAACAACAAAAACAAAACAAAACACAACAGCCAGTGCTATTCGAGGATGCACCAATTGGGTAGTGTCCAGACCAAATGAAATAGAATTACCTCTCTGTTTGCTCTGGACAGACCTCACATGGAATACTGTGTCTATAATTCATTTACTGACTATCTTAGGAAATGGATAGATATAAAAGCAAAGCGACATTTCTCTAGGTGCTGAATTTGCACTTTGCAAATATCTGTCTGTACAAAGAAGAGAATACCTTGATTGTAGAACAAGGCAATAAGAGGGGGAAAATGGGACTACGTTCACAAACTATCAGTCTTGATAGAGAAAATAATTCTCATGGCAGATCTTGGTTGCATGACTGACAGTCTCTCACTCATAATTAACACATCCTATCAATTAACACATTCCTCAAGGGATGAGTAGGCAGCACATTGTGTAGTCATGATCACATCTCCAATTTCTTTTCATTTTTTAAATGAAACCATGGCAGCTGACACCTTTCTCTGCCAAAGAGTGCTGGAGCCTCACCAACTCCCATAATTCCATTAATAATAATAATAATAATAATAATAATAATAATAATAATACTTTATTTGTACCCCGCTACCATCTCCCCAAGGGACTCGGTGTGGCTTACATGAGGCCGAGCCCACAATACATCAGCAAAAACAACAACAACAATAATACAAAACAATAAAATAAAACTCATAAACAAAAAATAGGCAATAAACATCAACAATAACATAATATTTAAAAACCTATGGCTGGGCCAAATATAATAATTAAAATTTTAAAAATAATTCTGAGCAAGACCAGGTGAAATATAACTAGGATAGAATTTCGGAAAAAGAACAGACAGTCCTAGATCACTAATAAAGTGCAATTAGGGACATATTACTGGGAGTTTTCTTATTCTGGGAAGGCACACTGGAACAACCACGTTTTCAGGTTCCTCCTAAAGATTGCCAAAGTTGGGGCATGCCTGATGTCCTTGGGGAGTGAGTTCCAGAGTCGGGGGGCCACCACCGAGAAGGCCCTCTCCCTCATCTCCACCAATTGCGCCTGTGATGGAGGTGGGAGCTTTGTTTGAGCCATGGAACATAAAGTGGTGTCAAACTGCATTAATTTGGCAGTATAGATGCAACCAAAGTTGATTAAAAATTATATTCTAGAAAGTCCCAATCAATAATAAATGAAGTTTTTTGTTATGAGAGGTTTCACTTTTTCATAATGTATTGTCGAAGGCTTTCATGGCTGGAATCACTGGGTTGTTGTAAGTTTTCCAGGCTGTATGGCCATGTTCCAGAAGCATTCTCTCCTGATGTTTTGCCTGCATCTGTGGCAGGCATCCTCAGAGGTTGTGAGGTCTGTTGGAAACTAGGAAAATTGGGTTTATATATTTGTGGAATGTCCAGGATGGGAGAAAGAACTCTTGTGTGTTGGACGTAGGTGTGAATGTTTCAATTGGTCACCTTGATTAGCACTTAAAGGTGTGGCTCTTTACTGCCCGGGAGAATCCTTTGTTGGGAGATGATTAGCTGTCCCTGATTGTTTCTTGTCTGGAGTTTCTCTGTTTTTGAGTGTTGTTCTTTATTTACTGCTATGATTTTAGAGTTTTTTTTAATACTGGTAGCCAGATTTTGTTCATTTTCATGGTTTCTTCCTTTCTGTTGAAAACTTCTTTCATTATGTATATATTTATTTATTTACAATATTTCTACCCTTCCTTTCTCGAACCCGAAGGTGGCTTTACAACGTAGGCAGCTATTCGAAGCTTATAATATTGGTTTGGATAGGTTGTTCAATGAGGACCAAATGTGCAATTGCTCAGTCTAGAGACTTTGACCTCACAATCCTCTTTTTTGCAATTCATAGGAGACAAAGTCATTCCATTATTTATCCCCCAATGTGGAGAATGCAGTCCTTGCATCCATCCCAAAGGCAACCTCTGCAAATTGAATGAGTAAGTTACTGTTAATCTTTGTAGAAGCAGGTGCCAGGAGAGCCATCTGAAACTATTCTGTAGCCCCCTTCCTGGAAAGGCAAGGTGATCCCCCCCTTTGCCTTTTCCAAAGCAAATGGCAAGTTTTTCAGGAGTGATGGTTTTATAACAAAGAGAACCTTTCTGGTGTGCTGTAATACCTGCAGTTTTAAGAATGAACATTTTAAATGTCTGAAATTAGATAGACAATTTAATACTATTCATACATGTGGTTTTACCTGTAATTTTATTTATTCTGTAAGCCACAATGAATCCCAGGCTTGGAGGAAGGGCTGGTGGTGTACATAAAGAAAAAGAATAGGGTAGTTTTGTATTTATTCTTGTCCTTGGTGAAAACCACACCTCCCTAATTTCATCTTCTATATTTTATAGCTTTGTAGCATTTCTTGGACTTATGTCTGATGGCACCAGCAGATTCTCTTACAAAGGGGAGCTTCTTCACAATTTCATCAGCACCAGCACCTTCACTGAATACACTGTAGTACACGAGTCCTCAGTAGCCAAAATTGATGCTGCAGCTCCACCTGAGAAAGTGTGTCTGATTGGCTGTGGGTTTTCGACTGGTTATGGTGCTGCCATTAATTCTGCAATGGTAAGGATCACTAAAATAACTTTAGGATGAGAGAACTTCTTTAATGGCACAATATGCTCCTGGATCCATCTCTCCAAATGTTAGCCCAGGAAGATGCAACTGTCAGGAGTGCTTACCATCAGCTTTGGTTGATACATCAGCTGCAACTCTTCTTAGATTTGGGTGACATAAAGATGGTAGTGCATGCACTGGTAATCTTAAGGTTGGACTTCTGCAATGTGCTTTACATTGGGCTACCTTTGTACCAAGTTCAGACCAAGTTATAATGATAATGATGATGATGATGGTGATTATTATTGTTATTAGTAGTAGTAGCAGTAGTAGTAGTAGCAGCCATGCTAGTGCACAGTGATGATGCACAATGAGGCACTACTTAAGGAATCCTATTGTGCATCATGGGCTCCTACTGCACAGTGCATAATGTTAAATGAAAGCAGAGTTGGAATGCAATTACAATTAGGACTCTCTGCAACAATTCCTTTCATTTGATCTTTATAATATTAAACAGAGCTTGAATTTACAGTTGGATGAGGAAAGAATAAGAAATCTGCTTGTGTGTGCATTGGGATCTCTGCATGAATGCATATAAGATCCAGTGCGTCTCGGAGAGAATACCCCCCCCCCCCTTCTGCTGAATGTTCCCCGTCCCACATTCATTTTGCAGATTTGTAAAATTTGCTACAAAGGAAGGTATGAAAACAGTGGGGGACATTTCCCCAAGGCTGACAGGTCTGTATATGGTCTTGCTGTTAGATTCTGAGATTTTAAAACCCACTTTTTAAACCTGCATTTTGACACTGTCTGGAAGCACCCTGAGTCACCTCTTGAAAATACAAATGTGCAATGGTACCATTAAATTTAGATTAGTGGTTCTCAACCTGGGGTCCCCAGATGTTTTTGGCCTTCAACTCCCAGAAATCTTAACAGCTGGTAAACTGGCTGGGATTTCTGGGAGTTGTAGGCCAAAAACATCTGGGGACCCCAGGTTGAGAATCACTGCTTTAGATGATCAGTTTACGACAATGTAATTTCCCAACATAATGCAAGCTACAGTGCACAGAAAAACAAGGAACAATAGAGTTGAAAGGAATATTATGAATTGCATATTGTACTTATTTGTGTGTCGGTTAAGATGTTTAGTTGTATCATTACCTGCAGTCTCAAGATCATTATTTTGATATAGGTGGAACCTGGCTCTACTTGTGCTGTTTTTGGACTGGGAGGAGTCGGCCTCTCTGCAGTGATGGGTTGTAAGGCAGCTGGAGCCTCTCGAATTATTGGGGTTGACATCAACAAGGATAAATTTCCCAAAGCTAAAGAGGTGGGAGCTACTGAGTGTGTTAATCCTCTGGATTTTGAGAAGCCCATCAATGAAGTGCTGATTGATATGACGGAGGGAAATGGTGTTGACTATTCATTTGAAGTCATTGGGCGTACTGACACAATGGTATGTACATGAAATTGTAGAAGAAAACTGATATGGCGGGCACATGTCTCCATTATTTTTTCCTGTTTTCCCATACTCCCCAATATTTTGCTCCAACAATTCCCTTCTCCCAGAAGGGCAAGGGTGGGTAACTGCATGATGACAGAATGTAATGAGATGCTTCCTCTTGTCATCCTTTTGAGATGCATGAAAAAAGAAATATAGGTATTTGATTGTAGTATGGGACTCTGGGGTGCTTGCAGGGGCATTTTCATGTGCTTTTACATACATTGTTTGGAAGCAAATAATACTCCCTGAAATCCACAGAGGGTTGAAGAAATGATAAGGGATCCATGGGTCACAACCATTGGCTCCAGGGATTGCACAGATAAGCCTCACTAGATAGACTGAACTAGGGCAGACCTACTGAGCCCATTGTTAGGTGAGCAACATAGCCAAACCTTATTAATTTAATGGGTCTACTCTTGTTGGGATTAAGAATGCATCTATACTGAAGAATGGATGCAGTTTGACCCCACTTTAACTGCCATGGGTCAATGCTATGAATTCTGTGATTTGTAGTCTGGTGACTCATAACACTCTGGCAGAGAAGGCTAAAAACCTTGTTAAACTACAGCTCCTGTAATTCCATAGCACTGAGCCATGGTAATTAAAGCAGTGTCAAACCGCATTCATTCTGCAGTGTAGTTGCAAGCTTAGTTTCAAGAAGGGTAAACCCAGTAAAATAATAGGGGTCATTCTAGTGTGCAGATGCACACAAACAGTAGGATTTAGGCCTTTACCTCCATTCAGGTCATTAAAGTTGTTTATGTTGCAATCCAATCAGTTCTCAAGATGGATGTGCGCCCGTACCTTGGGAAGTCCGACTTGGCCACAGTGGTCCACGCTTAGGTTACATCCTGTATAGTAGGGGTCCTCAAACTTTTTAAACAGAGGGCCAGGTCACAGTGCCTCAAACTGTTGGAGGGCCAGATTATAATTTGAAAAAAAGCATGAATGAATTCCTATGCACATTGCACATATCTTATTTGTAGTGCCAAAAACACTTAAAAGCAATACAACAATTAAAAAGAACAATTTTAACAAATATAAACTTAGTATTTCAATGGGAAGTGTGGGCCTGCTTTTGACTGCTGAGATAGGATTGTTGTTGTTGTTGTTGTTGTTGTTGTTGTGTGCTTTCAAATCGTTTCAGACTTAGGTTGACCCTGAGTGAGGGCTGGGTAAATGACCTTGGAGGGCCGCATCCGGCCCCGGGCCTTAGTTTGAGGACCCCTGCTGTATAGACTACTGCAACGCGCTCTACGTGGGGTTGCTTTTGAAAACTGTTCGGAAGCTTCAGATGGTCCAGTGTGTGGCAGCCAGGTTACTAACAGGAGCTGCGCTCAGGAAGCATGCTCCACTAGCTGACAGTTTGCTACTGGGCACAATTCAAAGTGCTGGCTTTAGCCTATAAAACCCTAAATGGTTCTGGCCCAGCTTATCTATCCGAACACATCTTTCCCTATGAACCTTCTAGGAATTTAACATCATCGGGGGAGGCCCTGATCTCAATCCCGCCTGTCTCACAGGCACATATGGCAGGGATGTGAGACAGGGCCTTCTCAGTGGTGGCTCCTCGGCTGTGGAACTCCCTTCCCAGGGATATTAGATCACCCTCCTGACCTTTTGGGAAAGAGTGAAAACTTGGCTCTTCGAGCAAGCGTTTGGAGCTCCAGTGTGACCAGATAAACACAAAATTGTAATACAAACATGGAACGGCTAAGATGATGTAAACAGATGAAGAATTGGACTGGAAGACATTTTTTAATAGATTTTTATAGCTTTTATGGTTTTTATATGTATTTATGATGTGATTTAATTGCTTTAACTGATATATATATATATATATATATATATATATATATATATATATATATGGGGCAACTAATTGTTGTGTTCTGAAATGGGAAGGATAAAAATGATGTAAATAAATAAAAATAATTGCAAGTTTGATCTATATTAAAGTAAAACCATAATAGACATGGTCTGAATCTTCCAGGCAGTAGTGGTGTCATGGTGGACCCAATATATCCTTTCCATAGTTTGATCTGAATGTGTGACTTTGGATTCATTTTAGATTGCTGCCTTGACTTCATGCAACATGAACTATGGTACAAGTGTGATGGTGGGAGCTGCCCCTACTGGGTCTGAGATGACTGTCCCCCCTGGTCTTATTATCACTGGCCGCACTTGGAAAGGAACTCTATTTGGAGGTATAGTTTATATCCATTCCTCTCCTTTATTGAAAACAAGCCTTACAATATGTACCATAGAACACATGACAGAGACAAAGCATTGCAAAATACTTTCAACAATCTCAGAACCTATAAATATATCTAGGTTTGTCTTCACCCTTAGGGACATTGTTGGACCACAAGACCTTTTGCCTTAGCTAGTATGGGCAATATTAGAGTGTTAAGTCTGTTCAGTATTGGTTCAGGCTGAGAATATTTGGGACTGAAAGACCTTTAACATACATGTTCATAGCTCTGTAATCTCTTTCTTAGACCTTGACCAGACATTCTCTTATTTGCAGGTTGGAAAAGCAAAGATTCAGTTCCTAGACTGGTTTCAGATTTCATGCAGAAAAAGTTTACCCTGGATCCACTCATCACCCACACGATGCCTTTTGATAAAATCAATGAAGGGTTTGAACTCCTCCAGACAGGAAAAAGGTAAAGCTTTCTCCTCTGTTGATAACAGAACTTTGCCCAAATACAAAGAGCAAATGTGACCTAAAAGATAGCAAAGGCCTGATTATATCTTTATCTACAGCTGTAAAATAGATTTATTTGGCAAATGCCTTGGTTATATGTTAACTTAGTCCCCTTCTGTTATGACTGAATCCTATGGAATCATATCAGTTGTAGTTTGGTAAGGCGCCAGCATTCTTTGGTTCCAAAGATTCCACAGCATCGAGCCATGGCTGTTAAAGTGGTGTCAGACTGCAATACCTTATATACTCAAGTATAAGCCGGCCCGAATATAAGCCGAGGCAACTAATTTTACCACAAAAAAAATGGGAAAACATATTGACTCGAGTATAAGCTGAGGGTGGGAAATGCAGCCACTACAGGTAAATTTCAAAATAAAAATAGATACAAATAAAATTACATTAATTGAGGCATCAGGAGGTGAATTTTTTTTAATATTTACATAAAACTGTAATTTGAGATAAGACTGACCAACTCTGATTAAATCATTACATATCTTCAATGTAAATGTACTTACGTATCCTTCCAACAATGATAGAGTAAAATATTAAATATAATAATAATAATAAGGTAAAATAATGGAAATGCAATAATAACAGTACTAATAGAGTAGAATAATAAATGTAATAATAGAGTAAAATAATAAATGCAATAATAATAAAGTAAAATAATAAATGTAATAATAATCATAAATAGTGTAAAATAATAAATCTAATAATAATAATAGGGTAAAATATTGTAAATGTAATAATAATAGAGTAAAATAATACATGAAATAAAAATAATACTAATATCAAAGTAAAATAATAAATAACCTTGACTCGAATATAAGCCGAGGGGAGCTTTTTCAGCCTAAAAAGGGGGCTGAGAAACTAGGCTTATACATGAATATATAAAGTAATTCTATAGAGTAGATCAGACATGAATAATAATAATAATAATAATAATAATAATAATAATAATAATAATAATACATTATTTGTACCCCACCACCATCTCCCCAATAGGGACTCAGGGCGGCTTACATGAGGCCAAGCCCAACAATGCAATACAATAAATGAAATCAAAACATAATCAACAACATAATCAATTACATAAAACATAAGCTATAAGGGAACAACAAACAATATAAAATTACAATAAAATCTGTCATAACACAGAACAGTGAGCGGGCCACATGTACAGAATAAAATACTAAAGGTAAAAACAGGGGGTGATATAGCAGTGGAGCGGATTATTTGTGAGGGAGAAACTCTTCCGAAATGGGGTCGAAAAAGGGACCTTCGTACCGAGGTGGAGGAGGTGTGCACTAAAGACAGATATTGAGGGTTAATGGCATTATGACATTATATGGTTAATTTCCAAAAGCGCAGCGGAAGAGCCAGGTTTTGAAATTCTTCTTAAAATTTTCTAAAGTGGGGGCTCACCTAATCTCACCGGACAATCTATTCCATAGTTGGGCAGCCACTGAGGAAAAGGCTCTCTCCCTTGTTTCCACAAGACAGGATTGAGATGATGGTAGGGGTGAAAGGAGAGCCTCCCCCGAGGATCGGAGGGATCGGGCAGGTTCATGAAGGGAGATACAGTCATGAAGGTAGGCAGGTCCCAAACTGTTTAGGGCTTTATAGGTGATGACCTGTATCTTGAATTGGGACTGGAAAATAAACGGCAGCCAATGGAGCTCTTTAAACAGGGGGGTTGATCACTTCCTATAATTCACCCCCGTTATTAATCTGGCCACCAAATGTTGAACGAGTTGTAGTTTCCGGGCCATCTTCAAGGGTAGCCCCATGTAGAGCACATTGCAGTAATCCAATCTAGAGGTAACTAAGGCATGGAACACCGTGATGAAGTCTGACTTCATGAGGTATGGACTTCACATAGGCAAACTTCAGCCCTCCAGCTATTTTGGACTTCAACTCCCACAATTCCTAACAGCTTACTGGAATTGTAAGAGTTGAAGTCCAAAACACCTGGAGGGCCAAAGTTTGCCCATGCCTGGTGTAGATGCACCCTTTGCATGCCAGTGAAAGGAAAGCAGGGGAGGAGCTATCCTACCCTCATCTCCCATGGACATGTGATGGTAGTGAAACTGAGACAAAGGCTTCACCTGAAGATCTGTCCCTGGCAGGTTCCTATCCTTCTCTTCCATGGCCACAAACACCTGAAGTGAAGACACATTCACCTCCAGTTTGTGTACATAAGCAAGACCCCATATCTTCCAAGACTCTTGCTCACATGGAGAAACTCTAGTCAAATACAAAACTGTCCTCTTAACAACTCTCATCTTCCATGTGCGGAGAGCAATGATGAATGGGGGCAAAAGGCTAACAGCTAAATTTGCAGAGGAAATGCCTTGTACTATTGAGAAAGCATGGAAACTCACCACAAAAGTCGTTTGCCAAAATGTAGTTGAATATGCAGTCCAGTTAGACTAGGAGCCCCGGTGGGACAATGGATTAAACCACTGAGCTGCTGAACTTGCTGACCAAAAGGTTGCAGGTTCTAATCTGGGGAGTGGCTTGAGCTCCCACTGTTAGCCCCAGCTCCTGCCAACCTAGCAGTTTGATAACATGCAAATGTGAATAGATCAATAGGTACCGCTACAGCGGGAAGGTAACAGTACTCCATGTAGTCATGCTGGCCACATGACCTTGGAGGTGTCTATGGACAACGCCGGCTCTTCAGCTTAAAAATGGAGATGAGCACCAACCCTCAAAGTCAGACACGACTGGACTTAATGTACCTTTACCTAGACTATGAGAGGTAACAACCTTTCCATTGCATCCAGATGTGGGATTGCAAGGTTAACACAGTCAATAATCTTGGGTATTGTGCTCCAACAACCTTTGGAAGGCCAGGCATTTCTCATTCTAACATTAGACAGAGCAAGAATGTATTTATAAATCCCAACTGAACCATTTTAGATAGAACAATGGAATTACTTCCATGTTTCCATGGGCCTTTGTATTTGGCTTCCTGTGACTGCATAACATATAAACCAAACTGAACTTTTGTGCATGTTGTTGTATAGCTGTTGTCATTTCAAAGCATAAGCTTCTACAGGTATGAACTAGTTGGTTTTTGTGAGATTAAAAAAATGTAAGAATAATAGAAATAAACATTAAGGCAAAATAAAGCTACATTTTTCTATAACTGTTTAGGCATCCCTTGTTGCTGCTGTAAATTACTTGTTTATTGTGATTTGTTTTAGTCTCTTCCCATTGTTTTAACTAACCATAGCTTCTGTGAGCTCTGACTGGTAGAAAGATAAAGCTGAGTGGTATTGTTAAAACTTGAATGATAATAAGTAAAGATTCTTGAATGACCTTCTGACTTTCCATCGTATCTTCAAAACTAATAGAACATTTGAAGTTTCTGGTTTAAATTTTATTTGATTTTGTTTTGAAGAAGATGGATATTTTTATTAAACTATTTTTCAGATTTTATTATGTATTATTTATTTACTTCATTTGTATACCACCCAACTCGCACTGAAGGGGACTCAGAGCATTCTCATAGGTAGACAACAATTTGTTGTCGTAAAATATACATACAGCAAAATAAACGTATACGTTAAAACAAAAAATTAATAATGCATATAAACATTAAAACAATTATTAAAAATCACGCAGTCCAAACTCATAATCCAAGTCCGTTTCAGTCATAATTCCAGGTTTTCTACTAGTGTGAGGATGTTATACATGACATTAATTTTAATATTTACACAGAAGGGCCATTGAAATCAGTGAGATATAATAATAATAATAATAATAATAATAATAATAATAATAATGTAAGACTTTAAGACTAAAGCAAGTCTTGTTGATTTCAGCCAGTCGGTTGGCAGTATGATCTTCTAGATCCATCCTGTTAACCCTGGTTTGCAGATCAGAATTAATTAATTTATTATTTATTTACTTCATTTATATCCCATCCTACTCAGCCCCGCAGGGGACTCAGGGTGGCGTACAAAACGGCACAATTCGATGCCACATTTAGATGGGATAAAACAAAACATATACATTAAAACCAATAATTAAAAACACAGTCTTAAAAACAGTTACTAAAACCATGCAGTCCAAGGACATATTCCTGGAGCCGTTCCATAAATTGCACTCTTCCATAGTCACTTATTTTCCAGATCATTTGATTGCATTGCAGATTACTGTCCCAAAGCTTGGTCTCACAACCATGTCTTCACTTTCTTTCTGAAGGACAGGAGGGAGGGAGCTGATCTAATTTCTCTGGGGAGGGAGCTCCATAGCCGAGGGGCCACCACTGAGAAGGCCCTGTCTCTTGATCCAACCAACTGCGTCTGCGAAAGAGGTGGGACTGAGAGCAGGGCCTCCTGAGAAGATTTTTACTTCCAAAAATTCATCATCATACTGAAACTGTTTTCTTATATTTCAGTATTCGCAGCGTTCTAATATTTTAAAGACCCCAGTGGCGAAGAATGTCAATGATCATTGCCAGCTGAGTTCTGCCAGATCAAAAGGCTATATACTTTTTAACGGATCCTGTTACATTGCCAGTAGCAATTATATTTTATCAGCTAGCAGACTGAGCCTAAGAAAGAATCATAGAACCATAGAGTTGAAAGAGACCACAAAGGCCATCACATCCATTTAGGAACATAGAATCAAAGCATCCTCAACAGATGGCCATCCAGCCTTTGCTTGAAAACCTCCAGAGAAGGAGACTCCACCGTGCTCTGGGGCAAGCATATTCCACTGCTGAACAGCTCTTACCAACAGGAAGTTCTTACTAATGTTTAAATGGAATCTTTTTTCCTGCAATTTCAATCCATTGCTCTATTCCCTAGTTTCCAGAGCAGCAGAAAACAAGTTTTCCTCCTCCTCCTCTATGTGACATCCTTTCAAATATTTAAACATGGCTATTATGTCCCCTCTCAGCCTTCTTTTCTCCAAGCTAAACATACCTAGCTCCCTATGTTATTCCTTGTAGAGCATGGTTTCCAAATCTTTGATCATTTTGGTCATCCATCTCTGGGCACATTCCACCTTGCCAATATCCTTCTTGAATTGTGGTGCCCAGAACTGGAGACAGTATTCCAGATCATTATATCCTACCTTGTATGCAGCAGAAAGAAAAAAGTTTAAATACAGGACAAGTTCGGTGCTTCCTGCTTTCAGCACTGCAATGACTGTGATCGGTGAGGTAACAATGAAAAGAATAATCATATAAATTATGACCCCCATATCCACAGGTAATATGTTTCAAGACTTGTTGATACACGAAACAATGGATAATTGAGAACCCTCAATTTTTCGAGCATGGGTGAGACTATAGATATTGAATCCACGGATAAGGGAATTGTACTGTATTTCAAAAATAAAACGAGGAAATCAGGATTATGTTGCAATTATTTTGGTGTATCAACACATGAAAATTGCCTGTACAGTAATTAATAATTAATTTTTAAAAGGTCACTCTAGTGTCAAAATAAAGCTTTGCACATTTGATATGGATGTCAATCATGATTAAGAATACGTCTGTTTCTCAGTGCCTTTCCATCATATGCATTTGAGTTTCTCTATGCAGTGTTGAATATCCAAATAAAAGTTTGACGAAGTCGATCATGACTGAAGAAGTGGATTTTTGCCCTGTTCTTTATGGAATATGGGAAAAAAGACAATAAGAGTTTTACATGTTTCTGGAGATGTCTAAAGTTAATGCACAATTTAAAGGGTTGCAGGGGAGAACAGGGTCACATATTTGGTTAAAAAAACCCACATAAAATTAGAATAAAATGTGAGGTCATCTTGCAATTCCTGGAATTTGCTATAAAGTTTTTGTTTTGGCTTTTTCTCCCCCAAAATTGTCAATGTGATCCAGAAGGTTTGAGAGGGGGAAGTCTAGGCAGGCTCAAAACAGGCCCTGCGGAAAAACAGTTTGCTTACCTGTGATTTAGCTTCTACTGCATATAATGGTAGTGGAGGTTCATCTTGCGCTAGGCATATCACCTCTCAGAAGTCCCAGCAAGTTGGCCAATGCTCAGAAATTTCAGGAGTTGATCATTAATACAACATTGGAGCAGGGGTTTTTTCCATCCCGACTAAAACAGGTTGTGGTTCGTCCACTCCTCAAAAAGGTCTCCCTTGACTCCACGGTACTGAACAATTACAGATCAATCTCCAACCTCCCTTTTTTGGGCAAGGTGTTGGAGCGGGTGGTCGCCTCCCAGCTCCAGGGTTTTCTAGATGACAACAACTACCTAGATTGGTCACAGTCTGGTTTCAGGCCTGGCCACGGCACTGAGACGGCCTTGATCGCCTTGGTGGATGACCTCCGTAGAGAGCTGGACAGGGGGAGTGTGACTCTGTTGGTTCTCTTGGACATCTCAGCGGCTTTCGATACCATCGATCATGGTATCCTTCTGGGACGACTCTCTGGGATGGGTCTCGGGGGCACGGTTCTGTCGTGGCTCCGGTCCTTCCTGGAGGGTCGATCCCAGATGGTGAAGCTGGGAGATGCCTGCTCGGACCCCTGGCCTTTGACCTGTGGGGTCCCGCAAGGCTCTATTTTGTCTCCCATGCTTTTTAACATCTACATGAAACCGCTGGGAGAGGTCATCCGGAGTTTTGGAGTTAGGTACCTCTATGCAGATGACACACAACTCTATTACTCATTCCCACCTAACTCCAAGGAGGCCCCTCAAGTGCTGGACGAGTGCCTGGCCGCTGTGGCTATCTGGATGAGGATGAACAAGCTGAAGATCAATCTCAACAAGACAGAGGTCCTCCTGGTCGATCGTAAACTGGATCGGAGTATAGGGTGGCAACCTGTGCTGGACGGGGTTACACTCCCCCTGAAGTCACAGGTCCGCAGTTTGGGAGTCCTTCTGGATTCATCACTTACGCTTGAGGCTCAGGTGTCGGCAGTGTCCAGGAGGGCTTCTGCACAACTGAGACTCGTGCGCCAACTGCGACTGTACGCTGCAAAGGCTGATCTGGCTGGGGTGGTCCATGCCTTGGTCACCTCTAGGTTGGATTACTGTAATGCGCTCTACGTGGGGCTGCCCTTGAAAACGGCTCGGAAATTTCAGCTGGTCCAAGGGCGGCGGCCAGGATGTTAACTGGTGCTCCTTACAGAGAGAGGTCAACCCTCCTGTTTAAGGAGCTCCATTGGCTGCCGTTCATTTTCCAGGCCCAATTCAAGGTGCAGGTGCTTACCTACAAAGCCCTAAACAGTATGGGACCTGCCTACCTGCGTGACCGCATCTCCGTTTATGAACCCACGCGTTCTCTTCGCTCATCCGGAGAGGCTCTGCTTGCGATCCCTCCTGCGTCGCAAGCGCGTTTGGTGGGGACGAGAGACAGGGCCTTTTCTGTGGTTCTTTGGAACACCCTCCCCAAAGACATCAGACAATCCCCTACATTGGCAGTCTTTAGGAAGAGTTTGAAGACCTGGCTGTTCCGATGTGCCTTTCCAGAATAGGAAACTCCAGCAATATGTCCCAGAAGCACTTTATCAGAGTTTTAAGATGGTCTGCACATTGCACTTACCCTAAAATCCTACATCCACCTGTCACACTCAGCACTTTTTAATCTGTACCCATTACATTTGGCCCAGCCCTAGTTTTATTGTGTTACGGTGTATTGTTTTTATTGTTTACTGCTATTGTTTTAATGTTTGATTTGTTTTAAGTTACGTGTTTTGTTATGCTGTTGTTTTATTGAGGCCTTGGCCTGTGTAAGCTGCATCGAGTCCTTCGGGAGATGCTAGCGGGGTACAAATAAAGTTAATAATAATAAATTAATAAATACCATCTGCCTTTGACAAAGAACTGGTGGGATCACAAGCCTGAAAAAGTTACAGAAAATGAACACATCAAACTACTCTGGGACTTCCAAATTCAGACTGACAGAGTTTTGGAGCACAATACTCCTGACCTCACGATCATGTTAAAAACCCCTATGGGTCATCTATGTTGCAATCCCAGGCAATGGCAGGATTAAAGAGAAATAACTGGAAAAGCTGATTTAAAGATCGAACTGCAAAGACTCTGGCACAAGCCAGTAAAGGTGGTTCCAGTGGTGATCGGCACACTGGATGCAGTGCCTAAAGACTTTGGCCTGCACTTAAACACAATCGGTGTTGACAAAATTACCATCTGTCTGTTACAAAAGGTCATCCTACTCAAATCCGCATGCATTATTTGTTGATACATCACATAGTCCTAGACACTTGAGAAGTGTCTGATGTGTGATCCAATAGAACAGCCAGCATAGTGACCTTGTTTGCTGTGTACTAATCTTGTTCTATTTCAAATAATAATAATAATAATAATAATAATAATAATAATAATAATAATAATAATTTGTATTCTGCCCTACCTCCTCGAGTGGACTCAGGGTGGATTCCAACATAGCAATGACAAACATTCAATGTCTATATAAAACACATGATACTAACATAAAATCCCAGAAAAACCCTACATATAAAAGTAACATTAAAACCCAACACCAAATTAAGACTTACCATCAGTACATTAAACCTGACATCAATAAATTAAACTACATGTAATCAGACAAAATTCTATAATATAAATCTAAACAAAACATCCACATTTGTGTACAACAGCCAGCAAGGGGGGGCTCCCATGGTTGAGAACATCATCACCTTAACTATTAATCCATGAGCATTGCACCATAAATGTGCAAACAGAAACCTTTGAAGTATTCAGATAATTCAAGACAAAAGGTACTATGATATGACAGGCAATCAGTTGCTAGTACGTGCAGCCAAAAATGTGCAAGCAGAAACTTTTGAAATCGACAGATCAATTCAATACTTAATTGCTATGAATAGCATGATGAATGGAGGTGGGCATCTTCAAGAAGTGTTCATGAAGAGTCTTAGGATCCTTTCACACTACACCATCATCACACTATGTTTCCACAACCTGAAGGCCCGTCCTAAGAAAACAGGTTAAGAATCTGTTGCTGTGACAACTCATTATTAAAAAGAAGACTGTAATATCATGGGATCAGGTTAGTCAGTCAAATAAATTGTAGCTGCACCTTTTGCCTAATACTTCAGTGTCTGAAAATGGGAAACAGAAATGTACTATCCTAGGGAAAACCTAGAGTCATTTGCAAACAAGTCAATAACTGGAGAAAGGACAGTATACTGAAATTTAAAGCAAATTTTCATCCTGAGTTTTTATCAGCATGTTATGTCTAAGGTGCTCCACTCTTGTAAAATTTGCAGAATCATATGTATATCAGAATAAGAAACGTTCATCCTAGCCCACAACCTGTGAGGATGCCTGCCATAGATGCAGGCAAAACATCAGGAGAGAATGCTTCTGGAACATGGCCATACAGCCTGGAAAACTTACAGCAACCTAGCGATTCCGGCCATGAAAGCCGGAACAATATATCGTTCATTCAAGCTGATTTTTAGTCTAGTAAGACTCTTATCTTCCCTAAAATAATGGAGATCATCTGAGGCAGCATCTACACTGCCATAAAATCCAGTTCAAAGCAAATAATCTGGATTCAGAAACTGTATGGCAGTGTAAATGGGGGCAGTCACGAGGGAGAATTGTGACAGGAACCCCACTTCTGCCTGTTGCAACTGAGAATGCTTATGGTTAAGAACACCTGTCAGCTTTGTCCTGAGTGACAAGTACATGGATATTGGTCAAAGTGTGAATTTCTATATTGACCACTTATGACAGTGTAGAGGCAGATCAGCTCTGTGGCCACCATTACCCAAATCTGGCTGAAAGTCTGAATTATTTTGGTCTCCTTGAGAGAGAGAAGGTAAGACACAAATACTTAAATGAATAAAGGTATTAAAAATTCTGGCACAGTTGGGACGATTCCGAAATGGAAGCAGAAGCACTGTCCCCACTGTGATTTTCCTGCTTCTTGGGAGGGGGTTGGACTGGATGGCCCACGAGGTCTCTTCCAATTAATGATTCTATGATTCATCCTGTGTTTCATGGCTTAGGAGGTCAAGGAACATGGGATGACAGCCCCCTTTCCCCTCATTTTGATGCATCTAGGCAGCCACACTAACAATCTTATCAGAGGGGGCAATTTACCCAAAAAAAAAAATCAAAAAGAAAGAAAGAAAGAAAATCCTTACCTAAAGCTCTAAACACATGGGACCAATATGCAAAATTCCCACATGACCTTTCTAACCTTCCTAAGTATTGGAACAAAGATCAGCGGAGGAGTGGCTAAGTTTCTTGGGCTGGATCTTTGGAAAATACTACATTTATTTGAAAACCAAGTCACATTTTTGCATTATTTCTTTTCAAGAGCCAACTTTGTCAATCTGGGAGGACACAGAAGTTTGAAACTTAACAGAGGAGGTGATAGACTCAAAACATGAACACTGCAGGAGAGGTAAGTAAAGAATTAATTTTAACATTGCTTTTGATATGTTTCATTTCAACCAGCAGCAAAGTAAAATGTGAGGGTAAATCTAAAACTTTCCAGAATGTTGTTTCTGAAGTGGCTGTTGTTTCTTGTGGGGCCTTTCCAAACAGCCCTATATCCCAGAATATCAAGGCAGAAAATCCCACATTATCTGAGTGTGGAATCAGATAACCCAGTTCAAGGCAGATGTGGGATTTTCTGACTTGATATTCTGGGATATATGGCTGTGTGGAAGGGCCCGTGAACTATCTCAATTTGTTTTACCCTTTCTCTCAGGCTGATTCTATATTTCAGAAAGTAGAGGATGGACTAATTATGCTCTGTAGAAAGCAGAAACACATGAAAAAAAAACCTTGCAGATATCAGAGGGCCCTTCAACACAGCCCTAAATCCCAGAATATCAAGGCAACCCCCCCCCCCCAATATCTGCTTTGAATTGGGTTATCAGAGTCCACACTAAGATAATGTGGGATTTTCTGCCTTGATATCCTGGGATATAGGGCTTAGGGCTGTATGGAAGGGCCCAGAGATCTGTTTAAAGCAGTGGTTCTCAACCTTCCTAATGCCACAACACCTTAATTCAGTTCCTCATGTTCTAGTGACCCCCAATCTTAAAATTATTTTTGTTGCTACTTCATAACTTTAATTTTACTATTGTTTTGAATCGCAATGTAAATATCTGAAATGCAGAATGTATGTTCATTCACTGGACCAAATTTGGCACAAATACCCGATACACCCAAATTTGAATGCTGGTGCGGTTGGGGGAGGATTGATTTTGTCATTTGGGAGTTGTAGTTGTTTGGATTTATAATTAACCTACAATCAAAGAGCAATCTGAACTTCACCAGCGATGGAACTGAACCAAACTTGGTACACAGAACTCCCATGACCAACAGAAAATACTGGAAAAGTTTGGTGGTCACTGACCTTGACTTTTGGAGTTGTAGTTCACCTACATCCAGAGAGCACTGTAGAGTCAGTATTTTGTAAGTAAAGCCATTATACATTGTTGTTGCAAGTTGGTTAAGAGCAGCATTCACTGAATCACCTTTAGACCCTCATCTTTATTACATGTACAGAAAAAATGGGCTGTATGCAGTCCTCTGTGTAATTTCCATGAGCCCCAGTAACCAATGCTGATGGTAAGGAATGCTGGAAGATGCTGGATGTGAGGTGGAGGCTTTTAGAGGCTTTTAAACAGAAGCTGTATGGTCATCTGTCAGGGGTGCTTTGAATGTAATTTTCTTGCTTCTTGGCAGGGGGTTGGACTGGATGGCCCACAAGGTCTCTTCCAATTCAATTATTCTATGATTCTATGAAGATGGGGCCCAAACATTGCATGAGTGCCACCATTGCTCTATCTCTTTTTATTTTCACAGGTCATCAAATGCAAAGCAGCTGTAATCTGGGAACCCAAGAAACCATTTAGTATTGTGGAAATAGAAGTGGCACCACCAAAAGCACATGAAGTTCGCATAAAGGTAAAAGAGAAAAATCTAAAACTGGATTACTGCTGATGAGCAGTACTATTTACTCATACCAAATTAGTTCTATCTTTGGGTATGGTCATCTGCCACAAGAGGTAGAGAACCGCTGTTCTCTGCAATTCTCCTTGAGTAATAACTGCAGACCATGAGTTTCCAGAATTAAATAGAGACATATGAGCATGCAGCAAATGGTAGGGGAAAAAAGCACAGAGCAAGATAGAGCATTGCAACATAGTGACAGTCTGAAAGTTTCCTGCATTATGACACTAGAGAAAAAAATCCACTTAAAAATCCAGAATTCCCGCAGAATTTTGGGGTTTGTAGTTTAGGGAGGAGTCTTTAACAGCCTCACTACACTACAAACCCCAGAATTCTGCAGGAGGCAGAAACTGGATTTTAAGTGGATTTTTTTTCTCTAGTGTGATGAAGTCGAGTATTATAAAGTTTCAAAACTCTCCAGTTGTGATATTGGGGTATATTTAAGCAATAAAGGGGTAATGCTTGTCCTCCTATTGCTTTCCAAAATACCTCCAAATATTATTCTGGTACCACATGATTCTCTAAAATTCAGTTCCCATGTCAGAGTAGGACAGTAAGAGCCAGAGTAAGAGCTATCACAACAGCAGGGCATTTCCAGTCACAGTAGCTGGTATTGAATGTGAAGCAATTGTCTACAGTGAAACGTCTTTGACTTTCCCCCCCAGATCTTGGCTTCTGGGATCTGCCGTTCAGATGACCATGTATTGAGTGGTGAGCTAAAAGTAACCTTCCCCGTTATTCTTGGTCATGAAGCAGTTGGTGTTGTGGAGAGTGTTGGGGAAGGAGTAACCCGTGTGAAGCCAGGTATAGAAAGCAAAAGAATGTAAACACAAACTCTTTATCATGCAAGACAATTTAAACTGTGAAAAAAGCCAATGTAATTCTAGAATGCATACTGTATAGCATCAAGATCAAGTGAAGTAGTATTGCATTTGTTCTGGGCAGACTTCACATGGAATACTGTATAGTTCCTTCACTGAGGAAATAAAGACATATAAAGCCAAAGAAGTGCTGAAACTGCAAGTTGCATGTATTATCTGTACAAAGAAGAGAAGAATTCCTGTATTGTAGAACAGAGCAACGAAGAGAAGAAAGGGGTCTAACGTTCTAGATATTGGAAACTAATGAGAAACATTCATAGTTTGCATCAGTCTTAATGGAGAAAAACCTATCTCATGGTAACTCTTCCCATTTGGTGATGAATTGGTTGTATGACTGGCAATCCCTTCCTCAAAATTAACATAGCCCACTTTATTGATGATCTCAAGGGATAAGTAAACAGAACATTGCAATGTCATGATCAGCTCCAAGTCTCTTTTTATTTCTTTATAGCCATTGGGAAATGCAAGAGCAACTCATTGTCATAGATTTAACACTTTCTCAGCCCCATTTTCTGGGGGTAATCAAATCCAGCCTTGATCCTTTGGGCCCTTACAGGCAGGACCCATATCCCAGGATCTGATGCCAGGTTTTCTGTTTATCCCAGATTATCTGGCAGTGGGGACTCATATAATTCAGTTTCATGCAGAAAACCTGGCATCAGATCCTGGGATATAGGGCTTGTCTGGAAGGGCCGTTTAAGTAGTGGTTTCCAAGCTTTGGCCTTCCAGTTATTTTGGACTTCAGCTCCCATAATCCTGAGCCAGTTTACCAGCTGTGAGGAATTATGGCAGCTGAAGTCCAAAACACCCGGAGGACCAAAGGTTGGGAACCACTGTTTTAGAGGACACATTTACTTAGGGCCCATTTACACAAACATGGTAAATATCTCATAGCTCTCTTGATCCTGAAATGGCATATGGCCCCTAACAGTGAAAGCACTTTTTTTAGGCTGTAATGTGATATACCAAATTCACTTTATGTCCCGCAATTCGGAAAGCGATACAATTTCAGTGTGGTATGTCACAGATAACTGTGTTGATTATGGTGGCACAGATACATCCCCAGAAGAGGGAAATAGAAAAGAGGCTTTTAAAAATGTTTCACCAATATTACAGCACATCTATATTCAATGGATTGATTCCTTATGGTCATACTTAGAGGAAATTGAGAGATGGGAGGTTATCATCAACACTTGATGTGGTTTGGTGTTCGTGATGTTTTATATGATCATGCTGCTATCATGGTTAGTTGAGACAAATTGGCTGGGTAATGGAAGAAGGCAAAGAAAAATTGCAACACAAATGCTCAAGAAGAGCAATTGCACTCCAAGGAAAGATTACAGTGTTTAGAAACTCCTTCGTTCTGAAAGGTATTAGTAGTACAGAATCTCAAAGGTTATCTACTTGAATGGCTTTGTATGGGAATTAGACAAATGAATGGAGAAGGTCACTCCCAGTTCAGAAACACAAGCTTTCAGCAGATTCAGATAGCTCTCTTTCCCCTTTGTGTAGAGTTTCTTACAGGAATGACGCTGGCAGCTTATGGCTCATGTTCCTTCCCACATATCTGCTTATTATACCAAGCCATTAATTCCCAGCTGGGTACACATTCCATTATCTAGTATTACAAAGCATATGCAAAAAGGGAGCATTACAATGCATATGGTAGCATAGTATGACTTACGATCCTGCCCTTGATTACATATTACATTGTATATCAGAGGCACTTGTTGTCAAATGCTAGTTGTTGGTAAACATTGATAGACAGATGTTGTGTCATTCATGTCCTATCAATGGGCTTCTCTGTGGGCCTAGAAATCTGCACTGGATGGGTCCTTCTTCTGTTTGGTATATTTATGATCTCTGTCAACACACTGCAATCAGTTCCACTCGGATAGGTATCGAGTTCTAAAAATGACGAACACAGCTTAATGTATTAATTCTCAGCTAGGTATACTCATTGCTAGAGAAATTTTTGGATCTTCCATATGTCCACTAGCTGGAGTCTTCAGAAAGCTTAATGATACTCTTTGTATAATTCTTAGGAGACAAAGGGTGTAGCTACACTGTAGAATTAATAAAGTCTGATATCACTTTAATTGTCAGGACTCAATGCCATGGAATTCTGGGATGTGTAGTTTGGCAGGCATCAACTTATTTATTTCGTATCAAAAGCATTGCATACATTAGTATAAAACTCATAAAAATAGAAGGTGCGCAGGCGGCTAAATATCTTTTGACCAAAAACAGGCAACAGCAACGGCATTCTCTGTAGCTTCCAACAATTCCTCCTCTGTACACGAGGCAGGGCACAGTGGACAAGCATATAGATGCGGAGTTGTCTGTTCTGCTGCACAGTCACACAAGGTGTGGGATTCTTTTAGGTAGGGCCATTTTGCCAGGTTGTCTTTTGATCTGCCCACTCCACTTCTGAGTCTGTTCAGGGACTTCCAAGTTGCCCATTCTTGGTTTGCCCCTGGAGGAAGACCCTCGGGGGGGGGGGGGCATCCAGTTGGGATTTCCTGGTTTAGCTGCCCAGAGGGATACCCTTGCTGTTGCTGGAGGGATGCCAAGAGGAGTGGTAGTTCTCATAAAGCTTTTCCTTGATTTGAGTCTGCTGGGAGGAGGCTGGTAGCCATGTAGTGGATGGCTTTCACAGTGTTCAACCTTATTTCTCTCACATTTAGCAGCAACTTCCCATCGCACATCGGGGGGGGGGGGGGGGAATGCCAGCTAGTTTGTATAGTTTATCAACAGGTGTAGGTTTGAGGCATCCTGTGATTATTCCGCATATTTCGTTCAATGCTACGTTCACCTGTTTTGCATGGGCAGACTTATGCCAAACACTACAGGCATACACGGCAGTTGCGTAAGACAAGGCCAGGGCTGAAGTTCTTACTAATTCTGGGTTTGCACCCCATGTGCTACCAGTAAGTTTTCGCAGGATATTATTGCATGCAGCTACTTTCAAGCAGTATTTCCTATATGCTAGTGTTCGATCTAAGGTGACACCAAGGTATTTAGGATGGAAACAATGTTCAAGCTCTTGACCTTCCCAGGTGACTTTCAATTTCCTGTTGGCTTCATGGTTGTGTAGGTGGAAAGCACACACTTGTGTCTTGGCAGGGTTAGGCTTCAGGTGGTTATCTTTGAAGTAGCTGGAGAGATCTTTCAAGACATTAGTAAGCTGGATTTCAACTGTTTCGAAGTCTTTTGCTTGTATTGTTAGGCCAAGATCATCAGCATATGCAAAGCTCTTTGTGAGTGGTAGTTGTGGCTGATCGTTTGTAAAGATATTACACAAGGTTGGTGCAAGAACGCTGCCTTGGAGTAACCCATTCTTTTGCCTCCTCCATCTAGTAGATGGAGGCACCACTGAGGAAGCTAAAAAGCTGTAAAACGGTGGTTCCCAACCTTTTTTTGACCAGGGACCACTCTCCAACATTAGTACCAAAAGTGTTATGAATAAGTTTTTGGTCAACTTTAGGTTCAGTTTGGTTATTTGGGGTGCTGATTCAAAAAGTTTCTGATACAGAACATATGCCATCCAGTAGTCACCATCTGTTTGCCCACAGAAAACCATATTTAATAATTTAGAGCTGATGTGGTCTATCCAATGCAATTTTCTGAATCAGCACCTCAAATAACCCAGGAACAGGCTTAAAAACGAAGTGCCCCTGCTTTCAGACGCCACATGGAACAGCTCCACTCAGTGAGGAGGAGGAGGAGAAGCAGCAGTCAGGAGGCTTATTGTCATGCCTTTTGTGAGTAGTCAGCCTCTCTTCTCTCAACATCCTCATTGCCTCGGCACTGTAAAGGGTTTCACGAGACCAGTCGCTCTCATTACAGTGGTGTAGTAATGTTGAGGCTGCAGACCATATTTTAGTTCTTGGGGACCACTACTGGTCCACGGACCACAGGTTGGAAATCACTGATCTAAAACTATAACACTCATGATTCTGTAGCATTGAGCAATGACAGCTAAAATGGTGTCAAACTGCATTAATTCTAGAGTATAGATACAATCAAAATTCAGTTCTTGTTGGAAAGGCTATTCTAGGAAGTATCTCTCTAGCCATCTATGTCAAGTTCTGGATGTGTGTGTGTGTGTATGTGTGTGTGTGTATGTGTGTATGTGTTTCTTTGTTCCACAAAGTCTTCTAGATGAACTGATGGATCTGGACTAAATATGGTACTCAAATCCTTCATTATTAAATTTAAAATTCTGGCATGGTTTGAAATAAAGTATATTTTCCTTTTGCCAGGGCACCGAACACTAGAAGATATATATGTCTGCCCTCAGATACAACCACAAGAGGGTGGTACCTAGATAGAAAGGCTATCACACATTGCCGGCCCATGAGTTCATACTGCAGTGCTCAGATGCAACTAGCAGAGGGCAGTATATAGATATAAAGTCTACCTCAGATGAAGAGGTGTTGGCATGGAGAGATTTTTTTTTATAAAACTGTTGCTTATGCACCCAGTTGCAAAGTATGCATTCTTTAATGGCACCACTCATAAAATTGTAAAGCTAACAATCTATATTTCTTATAAATCTCATTAGAAAAGGTGAAACCACGCAATGCTGGGTATATATGCTACTCAGTAAAAATGAGGTGTTTTTTTTCTGTTATGAGAAATCTCACTTTTTGTAATAGTTTAGACAGGCTGTTAGTTAAGGACCAACTGTGCAATTGCTCAGTCTTGAACTTCCAAGCTCTCCTTTTTGTAATTCACAGGAGACAAAGTCATCCCATTGTTTATCCCACAATGTGAGGAATGCCATCCTTGCATTCATCCCAGAGGTAACCTGTGTAAGTTTAATGGGTAAGTTACTGTTATTATTTGTAGCAATAAATGCCAGGAGGGCCATCTGAAAAAATCTGAAGCTCACCAAGCGACGACCTTCTTAATCCAGCAGACTTTTCAGAACTGATTGTTTCACAAGAAAGGAGTCTTTACTAGTGTGTGGTGATGCATCATTTCTCTGATTTTAAATCACCATTTGAAATTGTTTTATTTTTATAGATTGTTTAATACTATTTTAAAAGTATTTTAATAGATAATGATACTGGGGGGAAAGGAAGGAAAAGGGAAGAGGGGCTGACCAAGGGCAAGATGGATGGACGGTATCCTTCAAGTGATTGGCTTGACCTTGAAGGAGTTGGGGTGGGGGTGGAGATGGCCGACAGGGAGCTCTGGTGTGGGCTGATCCATGAGGTCACAAAGAGTCGGAAGCGACTGAATGGGTTTTAACTTATAATTGTGTGTATTCTGCAATCCACCGTGAATTCTAAGCTTGGGGAAAGGGGTGGTAGTGTATATTGAAGAGTAGAATAGTTCTATACTCATTCTTGTCTGGTGAAAACCACATCTCCAGACCTCACAACTTCTGAGGATGCCTGCCATAGATGCAGGCGAAACATCAGGAGAGAATGCTACTGGAACAGCTTGAAAAACTTACAGCAACCCAGTGATTCTGGCCATGAAGGATTTCAACAATACACATCTCCCTAATTTCTCCTTCTGTATTTTACAGCTTGGGAACATTTGCTGGACTTATGCCTGATGGAACCAGCAGATTCTCTTGCAAAGGGGAGCTAGTTCACAATTTCATCAGCACCAGCACCTTCACTGAATATACTGTAGTACATGAGTCCTCAGTAGCCAAAATTGATGCTGCAGCTCCTCCTGAGAAAGTGTGTCTGATTGGCTGTGGATTTTCCACTGGTTATGGTGCTGCCATAAATTCTGCAAAGGTAAGGATCACTAAAACAACTTTAGGATAACAAAACTAATTTACTGACGCAATATGCAACCTTGCTAGTGAATTGTGGTGATACACAATAAAGACACTATGCAAGATATCTAACAAGGGCTTTAACTGCAAAGTAGGGCACATTGTATTACGAGGTACATTGTACATCAGACCATTTCTGCTGATTGGCACACTTTCCAGGGCATCTTGAGCACTGGACTTTATTGCACAGAGGTGGCTAAATTGCACAATCCCATGCACCATCTCCACTCAACAAAGCCATCAGGGGCTACTGATGAGCAAAACACGTATCTTGTGTGGGGAGATTGGGTGCTTTTGTGGTGGCATCCTTACTTAGGCGATCCCTCATATCTCAAGGAAGATGGTCCTCCAGATGTAGTATCTTGGCGATGGGCCCATAGGTGGCTGTGAAGCCCTATTCTTTTTTATTGTTTTATTGTTTTTTCCCACTCCCACCCTCCCCTCCTTGTACATGCAATTTATACATCAAACTGCAAAAGTTACATTTGAAATATCAGTCTCAGTCTTAATTTTTCTACTCCACATCTTAGCACATTCTCCAAATAATTCCTAACTGGTTCCCACATCCTCTTAGTTATTGTAACCTTTTCAATTTTATCTATATTATTCCATTTGCAATTTGTTATTTCCACATTTAACATATTAACTATATAGTTATACCAATTAATCAGTGTCCATTTTGTTTTATCTTTCCAACTCCTCACTAAAACAATTTGTGCACACGCTATTAATTTGTCAACCAATTTTTCCTTTTGGATGTTCTTCACTCCTGTTATCCGTGCATGTAGTACATTTCTATTAACTATTACTATTTGTAAAATTCACATTCTATTGATTTCCCCTTCAATCATTTTCCAGTATTCTTGCACTTGATCACATTCTCATATCATATTCTTGATCCGCATGTTCTCCTGCAATGAGGACATCAGTTTCCAGATGGAAATGCGGTCCCGGACAGGGTTGGCTTGATGTGCCTTCCTCTTGGCACATTTTTCCTTTTCACCCTCCATTCATGCATCTTCAAATTCTGCAGCACTGCTGGTCACAGCTGACCTCCAGTTAGAGTGCTCAAGGGCCAGGGCTTCCCAGTTCTCGGTATCTATGCCACAGTTTTAAAGGTTGGCTTTAAGCCCATCTGTAAATCTCTTTTCCTGTCCACCAACATTCAATTTCCCATTCTTGAGTTGGATGCAGAGTAACTGCTTTGGGAGACGGTGATCGGGCATTTGGACATGTTCAGTCCAGCAGAGTTGATGGTGGAGGAGCATCGCTTCAATGTTGGTGGTCTTTGCTTCCTCCAGCACACTAACATTTGTATGCCTGTCTTCCCAAAAGATTTGCAGGATTTTTCAGAGGCAGCGCTGATGGCATTGTTCCAGGAGTTGTGTATAATGTCTGTAGACAGTCCACATTTCTTAGGCTTCTGTGGTGGCATCCAATATGCTCCTCTTGCCATAGTTTTTAAAATTATTTTTCACCTGGCACTTTGCAATTGTGAAGTGCCTGCAAAATATTAAATAAAAAAAGGAGGAGAAGCAGTATAGTAAGAAGCCAGAGTTATGCCACTCATCCAGAAATGACATGACAGTAAGTTGCCGCTATCCCAGATAATGAGACAATTCAGGACAGAGGAAAGCATGCACTAATGTTCCTAGTCCATTACGATTATTGCACTATGGTCGCATTGCTGGCCATGGTAACACAATCATCCCAATGGTTTAATTCTGTCTCCTAAGAATATCAATGTTTCCAATGCTAGAAATGAGTTTTGTGCAATCATAATCAGTTTACTTGTACCAAGATATGTAGCCACAGTGCACAGAGGGGGGGAAATAAAATAAAATAAAAACAATAGAGTTGAGAGGCATCTTATGAAATACATGCTGTACTTATTTGTGCATTGGTTAAAATGTTTAATTGTATAAATACTCTCAGTCCCAAGATCATTATTTTGATATAGGTGGAACCTGGCTCTACCTGTGCCATTTTTGGACTGGGAGGAGTTGGTCTCTCAGCAGTGATGGGTTGCAAAGCAGCTGGAGCCTCACGAATCATTGGAGTTAACAGAAGCAAGGAGAAGTTTCCTAAAGCGAAAGAGTTGGGAGCCACTGAATGTGTCAGCCCTCTGGATTTTGAGAAGCCCATCAATGAAGTGCTGTTTGACATGACGGATGGAGCTGGCGTCGACTATTCATTTGAAGCCATTGGGCATACCGACACTATGGTATACATATGAAATTGTAGAATAGCACTGAAATGGTGGGCAAACTTCTCTATATTTTTCCTTCCTCTCTCCAATATTTTGCTCCAATAATTACCATTTTCCAGTAGGGCAAGGGTGGGCAGCTGCATGAGGACTATGGCCAATTCCAGACCACCAAAATTGTCTATATCCCTCTCAAAATGATCACAGAATGTATTATTTATTTATTTATTGGGAGCATTTCTATCCTGTCCTTCTCATCTTCGAAGAGAGACTCAGGGCGGCTACCAAAAAACACCATTTGGTGCCGAACAATAAAAAGCATAAAATACAATTAGCACAAAATAATACAATTAAAAATATACATTAAAACAGTTCGCTCTTTCTTGTTGTTTTCCAAGTCAATCCATGGCCATCCGCTAAAAACAATCTTACCATTAAAACACTCTATTCTGCAAATGCTTGATCCCGTAACCAGGATTTGAACTTCTTCCGGAAGGTCATGAGGGAGGGGGCAGATCTGATCTCATTTGGGAGGGAGTTCCATAGGTGAGGAGTCTCCACCGAGAAGGCCCTATCTCTTGTTCCTACCAAATGTGACTGCAATGGTGGTGGGACCGAGAGCAGGGCCTCTCCAGATGATCTTAAGGTCCTTGGGGGTTCATAGAGGGACATAATTCTACAGTGTTGATGTACCCTAACAGTAGATGTTGGGTTTTCTTCCATGCATGTCCTTAAAGTTGTTTATATCAAACCCAAGAGGTTATCAATGTAGTTTGATTTGGATATTTTTTTTTGCAAGTAGTACAGTAAGTTCTGATACTTCAATGCAGTAATGGTGTGTCATGTTTGGCACAACAATTATTTTCCATGACTTGATGTGAATGTGTGACTTTGAATCTCTTTTAGGCTGCTGCCTTGGCTTCATGCAACAGGAACTATGGTGTAAGTGTGATGGTGGGATTTGCGCCTGCATTATCGGAGATTGCTTTCTCCCCAGCACTTCTCTTCACTGGCCGCACTTGGAAAGGATCTTTATTTGGAGGTATGGTCTAAATTCCAGTGCCCACCCCTCTTTTATTGGAAATCTAGGCTTAATCTAAGTACCATAGAACAGTTAGCAGAAAATGAGTGGGGAAGATGAGTATTTGATACTAGAGTTGCACTAAATTTTGAATAAACTCGGCACCTATGAATATACTCTATCTGTGCTCATCTTCACTTCTATAGACTTTGCTGGACTGCAAAACCTATTCACCTTGGCTAGCATGGTCAATATTAGACTGCTAATCTTGTTCAATACTGGCTCCAGCTAAGAATTTTTGGGACTGAAAGACCTTTAACATTCATGTTCAAAGCTGTTTAAATTGATTCTTAGCTCTTGACCACACATTCTCTTGTTTGCAGGCTGGAAAAGCAAAGATGCTGTTCCTAAATTGGTTTCAGAATTCATGCAGAAAAAGTTTACTCTGGATCCACTCATTACACACACTATGCCCTTTGAGAAAATCAATGAAGGGTTTGAACTGCTCCGGGCAGGAAAAAGGTAAAATTTTCTCCCCTATGAACAGCTCCCTTTTGCTCTGATACAAAGAGTAAATGTGATCCAAAAGGCAGGAAAAGGACTGCACCTGTAAAACAGATTTAATTGCCCAAAGCCTTAGTCATTTGTTAACCTATTGCACTTCCTTTAGCGGAAGAGCAGGACAGAATCTAATAATAATAATAATAATAATAATAATAATAATTATTATTATTATTATTTATTTGTGTCAGTAGTGACTTGAGAAACTGCAAGTTGCTTCTGGTGTGAGATAATTGGCTGTCTGCAAGGACGTTGCCCAGGGGACATCCGAATGTTTTGATGTTTTACCATCCTTGTGCGAGGCTTCTCTCATGTCCCCGCAAGGGGAGCTAGAGCTCATTCGTGCTCTCCCTGGATTTGAATCTCCAACCTGTTGGTCTTCAGTCCTGCTGGCACAAAGGTTTAACCCATTGCGCCACCGGGAACTCCTTAATAATAATAATAATAATAATAATAATAATAATAATAATACACTTTATTTATATTCCACATTATCTCCCCAGAGCGACTCAGAGCGGATTACAATGTACATATATGACGCAAACATTCAATGCCTTTTATGCACAGTGAACAATTACATACAACACAGACAAAGGTAGAGGCTTTCCCCTTTTTCTGTTTCCGGCGTCTGGAGGTAATATTGAACTCTGGCCATGGGGAGGTGCTCTTGTTCCATTTTTCATGCCGAAGAGCCTGTTGTCCATAGACATCTCAGATTGTGTTGTTGTCATGTCTGCATATCTGCATGGGGCAATCTTTTACTTTCCTGCTGAAGTGGTACCTATTGATCTACTCACATTTCATGCTTTCGAACTGCTAAGTTGGCAGAACTAGGGCTTACAGTCAGGAGCTCACCCTGACTTGTGGTTTCGAACTGCCAACCTGATTTCCTGCAGTGAGTGGTTTAACCCGCTGTACTACCGCGTCCCCTATGTGCATTTAATTATTTGTTTCATTTAGATGATGCATTTCTTCTTGAATGAAACCCTCCAAGGAGAGCAAATGAAAATCATTTACAGTAATATTTAAAACTAATCAAAATCACTTCATAAAACATTTTAAAATCCAGAAATAAATAAATGTTTAATAAAATATCACCAATAAAATAAAAAAAGCAACCCAAAATTACTGTTTCTAGAGGCATAAAGAGATTATTTGTGAGGTTATGTGCAGTTGTGGGTTTGAGCATGTGTCGTCTGGAAGTGAAGAGTGGTTTCTCTGTAGGAAAAAGAGTACTTATGTGGAAAAAGCCTCTCCTGTTTACAGAAGCATTCACAATTTTTGTACAAATAGTGTGTGTGTGTGTGTGTGTGTGTGTGTGTGTGTGTGTGAACAAACCCTACAATTCTTGCACACAATTTCTAGAAACGAGGGCTGGAATCCTGTATAACATTTACAAATCTGTAACTGGAGTTATGCACTTATGACTATTATATATTTATGGGCCTTATGTTGCCACTAGTTTAGGAGCCATCTAGGACTGTGGAAGACCCATAACTGTGATGCCCACACATAAATAATTTTTTCTGGCCATTTTATTTATTTAGCATTAAAAAGTGTATTTCCAAATAGTTTTTTACGCTAGTGTTTCAGGGTATATAAATAGCCAAAATTGTGCAGAAATAGTATTCTTCTACTGCAATGGGAAGAAAACTACAAAAACCAGTAGAAAGCCAATGCAATGAAATGGGATGGAGAGGCATCAGGAACCTGGGATAATTTTTGAAGCTGGGGAACTTAGATCTTTATGAGATTCAGGAGTTATTTGCTTGCTTTTGGAGGCACAAAGATGTGGGATGAAAAAGAAAGGAATACAGGAAGGAAGCTGTTGACAAAGAGAGAAAAACAAAGGAGAAAGGGAAAAACAGATGTTTAAAAGGGAATTGATGAAAGGGGAATGTCTAAATCTGCACAGAACCTCACCACAAAAGCTCTTTGCCAAATTATATTAACCCTTGTATGCAGACCTGTCCATCATCATACTTAAACTGTTTTTTAAAAATATTTCAGTATTCGCAGTGTTCTGATATTTTGAAGACCCCAGTGGTGAAGAAAGTTCAAGACAGAGATCTTTGTCAGCTATGTGCTTTTGTGAACATCTGTGGAAAGGACTGGATCCTGCGATGTTGCCAGCACCAATGATATCAGATCAGCTAGTCTGACACCATGATAATTGCATCCTTTGCTGTGGTTACAGAAATAAAAAAGTTGAAATAAAATTCAGCCTTTTCATGTGCTTCCTATGACAACCTCTATCACACAGCTGCTGGCTTTGTGCAACTGCAAACCCTCGGCAGCACAAAACCAGATTTCTGTCAGAATTTGTAAAAATACATTGCATATTAAAATGGCAAAAGACTGAGTCACTCTGGCCTAGCCACATGTTAGAGTGCTGTGTCACCATGACCAGGCAAGTGACTGATACAATGTGGGAGGGTATAACAAAAGCCAGTGGCTTTCGTATGTTTAGTGACGAGGCAATCCAGTTGATGGATGATGTGACTTGCAGTAGAAAGTTAGAAAGTGTATATTTTGTACAGCTGTATATAACTTCTGCAACTTTTGAAGGTAAAGCCTTTGTGCATTTGGAAAGAACAACAGTGTTTGATATCTGTGTTGTTCTGCAGTCATCTCCTACACTACACAAAGGGGTGCTTGGATCCTGGCTGGATTTCCGCATGGAGATGCTTTCCAGCACTCTGCTAAGGTATTAGAATAACCTGACAATTTCCAGGTGTATGACATAATAATAGTGAGATAGGAATAGTCACCGGCTTCTGAGTGAGTTACCACCTCTGTGCAATAAAGTATTTAGTGTAAATCCAGTCATGTTTATTATTTATCAGATTCCTCAAGCACTGTCCATTAAAATATAGATTATTTAATTGTAAGCTTTTAAACAGTCTTCTAAAAAGTTGTCAAAGGCTTTCATGGCTGGAATAACTGGGTTGCTGTGAGTTTTCTGGGCTGTATAGCCATGTTCCAGAAGCATCATCCTGACGTTTCGCCCACATCTATGCCATAGATGTGGGCAAAACATAAGGAGAGAATGCTTCTGGGACATGGCCATACAGCCTGGAAAACTCACAGCAACCTAGTCTTCTATAACAGGACTAAGATGGGGGAAATTGAGGAAAGCAGCCAACTTATTAAGACTTTGGCTAAGATTCTACATTTTTGCTTGCATTATGTAAATATACACTTCCATAATTGCACACTATGCCACATCTTTGCTGCATATTGATATTATGTAACTGGTACTGTTTATTTGGCAGTGTGTCTGCTTTTAGTCTTATTGTGCGAGTGGAATGAACAGTGACTCTTTCTACTCCAACTGAATAAAATTGTACATTGAAAGCACTGCTGAATGGTTATGTGTAGTCCAAAATGCATAACTGTATGCCTGGAATCCTGTTATTTGACCCATACAATCCATTGTGAAATACTCAGTCGAGATGTAAGTCAATCCATCTCATGCAATGACTCTAGTTTAGGAACTGAAAACTTCAATTGCAAGATGGTCACAAAAGGAACACCACATGTGGAAAGCAAGTGACACATAGTTTGGGTACCAACATTATTCTGGCTTTCATGGACAAAGTGTTAAATTCTAATAATTAAGGAAGCAGATTGTTATTGCATTTCAAAACAAGAAAATATATGGGTTTATAATGGACTCACTGAAAGCTAAAACAATACCAATCTTTGTTTATTGTCTAGGCCAGAAAAAAATCAGTTGTTGGAGGAGGCTAATAAACTAGAGTCAAAATAGCACGTAAATAATCCTCGTGGCTTCAGTCTGATTCAAAACTCTATTCCTGGATTCTTACAAAGAGCAGGAACAGAGGACACATCTACATTATAGAATTAATTCAGTTTGACACCACTTTAATTGCCATGCTCAATGCTATGAAATCCTGGGATCATTACTTTGGGGAGTCGCCATCACTCTTTGGAGAGGAGGCTAAAGATGTAATAAAAGTACTACTCCCATGGTTTGATAGTATTGAACCATGACAATTAAAGTGGTGTCAACTGCATTAAAATTCTACTGTGTAGATGCACCCTGGGCTTATTTTACAAATAATAAATTCCAAATGTTTACACCAAATATGGTAAATGGATAGATGAATGTAACTGAGAGCCAGTGTGGTGCAGTGGTTTGAGCACTGGACTACGATTCTGGAAACTAGGGTTTGAATCTCTACTCAGCCAAGAAAATCCACTGCTTGACTTTAAGCAAGTCATCCTCAGAAGAAAGCAATGGCAACCCCTCCCCCCCGCTCCGAGAACATATAGTGCGAAGTAATAGCTTTGCCACAGCTAGGATTGCCATAAATTGGAAATGACTTGATAGCACACAACAATCTGTACTCATTGATGAAGTGTCTAATAGTCATAAAAATACAAACATAAAATTATAAATGAAAGAATGGAAGTCAGTCCTCTCATGCTAAATGATTTTTTTCAGCCGGGAGTTACTGATGGAAATGACTGTTTCAATTTCACAGTGTCAAGAATCATAGAATCAGAGTTGGAAGAGACCTCATGGGCCATCCATTCCAACCCTCTGCCAAAAAGCAAGAAAATTGCATTCAAAGCACCCCGACAGGTGGCCATCCAGCCTCTGCAGGAAAGCCTTCAAAGAAGGAACCTCTACCACACTCCGGGGCAAAGAGTTCCACTGCTGAACAGCTCTCACAGTTAGAAAGTTCTTCCTAATGTTCAGGTGGATTCTCCTTTCCTGTAGTTTGAAGTTATTGTTCCGTGTCCTAGTCTCCAGGGCAACAGAAAACAAGCTTGTTCCCTCTTCCCTATGACTTTCCCTCACATATCTACATGACCATTATGTCTCCTCTCAGCCTTCTCTTCTTCAGGGTAAAGATGCCCAGTTCTTTAAGCTGGTCTTCATAGGGCTTGTTCTCTAGACCCTTGATCATTTGAGTCACCCTCCTCTGGACCCATTCCAGCTTGTCAACATCTCCCTTCAATTGTGGTGCCCAGAATTGGGCACACAATTCCAGGTGTGGTGTGACCAAGGTAGAGTAGAGGAATAGCATTACTTCCCTGGATCCAGACACTATATTCCTATTGATGCAGGCCAAAATCCCATTGGCTTTTTTTTGCTGCTGCATCACATTGTTGGCTCATGTTTAATTTGTTGTCCATGAGGACTGCAAGATCTTTTTCACATGTACTGCTCTCGAGCCAGGTGTCCGTCATTCTGTATCTTTGCATTTCATTTTTTTCTGCCTAAGTGGAGTATCTTGCATCTGTCCCTGTTGAACTTCATTTTGTTAGTTTTGGCTCATCTCTCTAAACTGTTAAGCTCATTTTGAATTCTGCTCCTGTCTTTTGGAGTATTGGTTATCCCTCCTGATCTGGTGTCATCTGCAAACTTGATGTTCATGCCTTCTAACCCTTCATCTAAGTCATTAATAAAGATGTTGAACAGGACCGGGCTCAGGATAGAACCCTGCGGCACTCCGCTCGTCACTTCTTTCCAGGATGAAGAGGAGGCATTGGTGAGCACCCTCTGGATTCATTCGCTTCACCAGTTACAGATCCACCTAATCATAGTTTTGCCTAGCCCACACTTGACTCGTTTGTTTCCTAGAAGGTCAACTAAGTTTTAGAGTTTAAGGAACAAATCCTAGATTATAATATGGATATGGGGCCAGTCATATGTAATCATATTTCCTTGGCTCTACCATATAGAGCAGATGATACTTCTGCTACCCTTAAGCTAACAAAATAAATTTGCAGTAATTGCTTTTTCATTTCTCTCAAATGAATTAGTGTAGCTTCTTAATGTCTTCAAATCTACTGATTTCTTTCAGTATTAAGATGCACTGAAGAACTGCTGAGTCAGTGCCAGTTTTAAATCAGTGCCAGATTTGAGCATGAGCCAAGGAATTGGAAGAAGCCCAATACAGGGTCTCTTGAATTTGACATTGCTCATTGCCCCAACATGCCTTAATCCAGCCTTTGAGGTGAAAACTCCCACGTAACTCAATTCTAATCCTTGCATAATGGAACTTGAGAAAACAGAGTGGCATGAGAGGAGTGGCCAAGTTCTTGGGGTGGGACTCAGCAAATATTGGATTTAGTTACAAGACAAAGCAAAACTTTGCAACCACTTTAAAAGGGAGTTTGGATCCATCCAGGAGGGGAGACCACCACAACTACACAGAAGCTTCACAACTACACAGAAAGCCCGGCAATTTGTGAAACATAGAATCATGAGTACTGCAGGGAAAGTAAGTAGATTATTTCTTTTAAGATTGCTTTTTAATCCCAGGTGTGTATGTGAGTATGTGTGAATACTGGCACCTAAACATACAAAATAGAAATGGCTATAATGATTGTTGAAAGCTTTGTTTTCATGGTCAGAATCACTGGGGTGCTGTGTGGTTTCTGGGCTTTATGGCTGTATTCTAGCAGCACTTTCTCCTGATGTTTTGCCTGCATCTGTGCCTGGCATCTTCCGGGCCATACAGCCTGGAAACCACACAACACCCCAATGGCTATATTTTACTTGCGCCAGAAGCAAAACCTTACTTGAACTAGAGATGCTGGAAAACCCACCGCAGAATATGTCAACATCAGATTTATCTTGTTTTAAAGTGACATTTTTATGATGTAGGGCTGCTTTGTCTCAACAGAATCTGTAGCCAGATAGGAAACATTTGCTGCTCTCAAAATGTAGAGCGATGTTTATGCATATGCCTGTGGAAACAATTGTGCGATGTTTGAAAGTAACGAAAAGAAAAAAAGGAGAGAGAATGGCTTTTTGCGTGTGCGTGCATACAAAGACTCTGCAAAAATGCTGCTTTAAAAATAAATGCAGCCCTTCTCCTAAAATTAACTAGTGTGGAAAAAAAAACATCTGGAACAAATATTCCATGGAGCCAAGAAGACCACATGATCTGCAGAAACAGATGGAGCACAGATAATGTTTGTTTCACAACTATCTTGTTTGTCCAAGTTTTTAAGGACATTGCTTGTGCAGCAGCACCAGTTCTGTGCATTTCAAACTCTTTTGCTGCATATTTTTGGCCTTTGCTATGTATGTGTATGTGTGTGTGCCTTCAACTTGCCTATCAAGATAGACCAGCTCCAAGAATGTCATAGGAAATTCTTAGGCAAGGAATACTCATAGATGATTGTGCCAAGACCTTCCTCTGAAGTATAGCCTACAGCACCTGGTATCTGATGATGATTTTCCATCCAAGTACTAAACAGAACTAACTCTGTTTTGCATTCAAGATGAGATAGGATCCAGTGCCTTTAGGATATTTACACCTATGTCCTGCTAGGTGTATTGAACTATTTTCCCAGTTTTCTGGCTCCTAGCCATTTTCTTTAGATGTAAACATGGATTATGGAGGGAATTCTGGGATACTGGAAAAGGCAGAAAGAGCATGGCAACGTCCATGTATGTCTTCAATGTCCTGATCTGTGCCTTCCCAAATTTTAAAAGTAAGAATGTGTTATTTCATGTCTGTTATAAATATAAGCATTGTCTCATCCCCTATTATTTTTACAGGTCATCAAATGTAAGGCTGCCATAGCCTTTGAACCTAAGAAACCCTTTAGCATAGTGGAAGTAGAAGTGGCCCCACCAAAAGCACATGAAGCTCGCATTAAGGTAAAGGAGACAATCTAAAACTGGATTAGTGCAGATTATCAGTATTTACACATATTCACTCTAATCAGGTAGGTTCTATCAGGCGAAATGAGGCAGCAGGCCCCATTTCTCTCAAGCACCCTACACAAAGCTAGTTCAGGGTGCTGGTCAATTATAAGTGTTAAAGGAAAGTTCAGTGGTTGATCCAGGGGGATAGGATATATGCAGAAACATGAAAGGGAGGATGCATTGTGTTCTTCACTTCTAGCCAAATACATGCAAGGACAAAGACATCCTCCAATACAGGGTTGTAGCCAGAAAAAAATGGGGGTGGGGTGGGGGGTTTGAAACTTTTTTTTGTGAGTCATGAAGTATAGGTCCATAACACAAAACAATTTAAATTATATGATTTATTCTATATTTTTATATAGACTTAATTAAATAATTTTGTATTTTAGTTACAAAGTTTCAAGTCTTAAAAAAAACCTGAAAATAACTTTTAATTGGTAATTTATGGTTACACAAGAATACCACAACGTCTGTTGGAAACACTTGAAAACTGTGTCAATACACTTTGACAAAAATCAGGTTCCATCAATCAACTTTGCTGGACACACAAGAGTGCAAGTTCAGACAGTCTTTCTTACTCCATTGTGTTTCATGTGTATATTTTCAAATGTTTAATAGGAGTTGAAAATGACATTTCATTTGTAGCTGTTGACATTGGAAATGTTGCAGAAATCTGAAGAAGTTTCTTCACATTCGGAAAAAGTTGTCCATTACAGATAAGAAACTGCCTCCTCTGCTACAGAATCTACCTTCCTTGAGGCAACCCAGTGCAGTCAGCCACCCAAGACACCCAAACCTTATGCTTTGCTGGGAAATCTCTGCCAATAAATACCAAGGGCAGAAACTTCCCAAATTGTAGGATGAACCCCTGGGGCAAAAGCATATCAATGGGAACCCTAGTATCCTCTGAAAAAGGGGAGGGGAGGGAGCAAGGTGGGTAAAGACTAATCCCCATTAGGAACCTGCCTCTTACCTCACGCTGAAGCCTTCAACTCCACCTTTGTCAACCATCCCCACCAAGTATGCTCTCCTTCATGAGGGCCTTCAAATTCCCCCCTTTGTCTTAGACTTTACCTGCCAGTTGCAGGTGGGCCAACTTCGCCGCTTCTACTATATCAACTATATCTGCTATTGGAATGAAAAATTGGTGGAAACATAGGTAATGACAGTGTGAATAAATTGTCAAAATTTGGTTGAGACAGTGCTCGCAGTTCTGGAGGACTGTTAATTTTTGCTTCTCATAGACTTGGCATGGGGATTGGATTAACCAGTTAAAATTCATGAGTAAACCATATCTTACTGCAGTCTTCTCGAAACTCAGAGGAGGACCTCAGTGTTGCGACTCTCTATATAAGGAAACAGCCAAGTACCCCTTCACTATTGCACCACTTCCCACAATCATTCCATGTATATGTTGTGTAGGGAGCCTTGCAAGAAGCAGGTGAATTCTCAACAGAGGATAAATGGGTAGAATTCTACCTGAGCAGAATTTTATGCCCATATCCTAAAACAAATCTATGGCCAATCTCCAGGAGGAGCATCAAAACATAAGTTAGATTTGGAATAGTTTTTTTTTTTGGATGACAAGTTCCAGAATCCCCCAGATAGCATGGGCAATCATCATGCTAGCTGTGGGAATTTGGAGGTTTTTACTCCAAAATAGTAACTTTTCCAAAATACAATCACGGCAACTTGCTGTCTAGTGAATATGTTTCCAAGCTATAGATAGCTATGGAAGCAACATAGTTGTTATTCCAAAATTGCATTCCTTTGTCATATTTGTGCCATAGAGGGACAGGACTTCGCCCATTGCCGTATCCTCTGGAGTCAAATCCACTTCTTCTGAGGTGGCCATGAATGACTTCACAAACAGCCACACCATATTCCTTGTGAGGCTATCTTTTGGTGGTTTCTACTGTCACTATCCCCATTCTGAAATATGAATGCCTCTCCAAACCTTAGTTATGTTAGGAGCTTTGAGCTCACATATGCTAGCAATTTTGCCCTACTCCTTTGCCTTTGTCCACCTCTGGCATGCACCTCCACCCTTGAGAACATTTCTGAAAGTGAATCTGTCTCTTGGGTTGAAAGAAATTCCCCACCCTTGCTCTAATCTCCTGTCAAACATAGGCTCTGCTAAAGTATACTTTGATTATGTAAGCATCAAAAGCTCGTGGTCTCAGTATAATAGATATCTCAGTATAATAGAAGTGTTTTCAACAGGTTTGAGCTAGCTTTCAGGTCAAATTGAGGGCAGCAACATCCAGAGATCATATAGATCTTAAATATGAAATACAGTATGCATTTATAAATTCTAATTCACAGTCCCTACACAGATCTGCAAGAGTTTTTAGTTTTGCATAATAGATTTAAAATGTTTTTGCAACCACTGACCCTCCACAAGGAAATCTATGACTTGTTATTCAATATGAAAAGAAGAGGATGGAAGATGGAAGTTTTATGATATACTAGCTGTGCCCTGCCACGCGTTGCTGTGGCCTATAGTAAAACTTATCAAAGTTGAGGTAGATATCTGGACTATTATGAAAGAGAGGTACCTACCTATTCCTTCCCCCTTTTCCTCCCCTTTCTCTCCTTTCTTCCTTCTCTACCTCTTTCTTTCTTTCCTTCTTTCCCTACTTGGTTTCATCCTTCTCTCTTTCCTTCATTCCCTCCCCCTTTCTTCCTTCCTTCAGGGAGTGTAGACTCATGTAGAATCATAGAGTTGGAAGAGACCTCATGGGCCATCCAGTCCAACCCCACTGCCAAGAAGCAGGAATATTGCATTCAAATCACCCCTGACAGATGGCCATCCAGCCTCTGTTTAAAAGCTTCCAAAGAAGGAGCCTCCACCACACTACGGGGCAGAGAGTTCCACTGCTGAACGGCTCTCACAGTCAGGAAGTTCTTCCTAATGTTCAGATGGAATCTCCTCTCTTGTAGTTTGAAGCCATTGTTCCGCGTCCTAGTCTCCAAGGAAGCAGAAAACAAGCTTGCTCCCTCCTCCCTGTGGCTTCCTCTCACATATTTATACATGGCTATCATATCTCCTCTCAGCCTTCTCTTCTTCAGGCTAAACATGCCCAGTTCCCTAAGCCGTTCCTCATAGGGCTTGTTCTCCAGACCCTTGATCATTTTAGTCGCCCTCCTCTGGACACATTCCAGCTTGTCAATATCTCTCTTGAATTGTGGTGCCCAGAATTGGACACAATATTCCAGGTGTGGTCTAACCAAAGCAGAATAGAGGGGTAGCATGACTTCCCTAGATCTAGACACTATGCTCCTATTGAGCCAGGCCAAAATCCCATTGGCTTTTTTTGCCGCCACATCACATTGTTGGCTCATGTTTAACTTGTTGTCCACGAGGACTCCAAGATCTTTTTCACACGTACTGCTCTCGAGCCAGGCGTCCCCCATTCTGTATCTTTGCATTTCATTTTTCCTGCCAAAGTGGAGTATCTTGCATTTGTCACTGTTGAACTTCATTTTGTTAGTTTTGGCCCATCTCTCTAATCTGTCAAGATCGTTTTGAATTCTGCTCCTGTCCTCTGGACTATTGGCTATCCCTCCCAATTTGGTGTCGTCTGCAAACTTGATGATCATGCCTTCTAGCCCTTCATCTAAGTCATTAATAAAGATGTTGAACAGGACCGGGCCCAGGACGGATCCCTGCGGCACTCCACGTCACTTCTTTCCAAGATGAAGAGGAAGCATTAGTGAGCACTCTCTGTGTTCGTCCACTTAACCAATTACAGATCCACCTCACCGTAGTTTTGCCTAGCCCACATTGGACTAGTTTCCTTGCCAGAAGTTCATGGGGGACCTTGTCGAAGGCCTTACTGAAATCCAGGTACGCTACATCCACGGCATTCCCCGCATCTACCCAGCTTGTAGCTCTATCGAAGAAAGAGATCAGATTAGTCTGGCATGACTTGTTTTTGATAAATCCATGTTGACTATTAGTGATGACTGCATTTGTTTCTAAGTGTTTGCAGACCGCTTCCTTAACAATCTTTTCCAGAATCTTGCCCGGTATCGACGTGAGGCTGACCGGACGGTAGTTGTTTGGGTCATCCTTTTTCCCTTCTTGAAGATTGGGACCACATTGGCCCTCCTCCAATCTGCTGGAACTTCTCCCGTTCTCCAAGTCGTCTGATGGTTGCCAATGGTTCCAAAATGACTTCTGCTAGTTCCTTCAATACTCTGGGGTGTAGTTGATCTGGCCCTGGGGACTTGAACTCATTAAGAGCGGCCAGGTATTCCTGGACGACTTCTTTCCCAATTTGGGGTTGGATGTCCTCCAATCCCTCATCCACTCCATCTTGCTGAGGTTGAAGACTCTCTTTTTGTGAGAAGACCGAGGCAAAGAAGGCATTAAGTAGTTCTGCCTTTTCCCTATCCCCTGTCAGCATTGTCCCATCTTCTCCTCGAAGAGGTCCTATCGCCTCCTTGTTTTTCCTTTTTCTACTGACATAAGAATAGAAGCCCTTTTTATTGTTTTTAATGTCCCTGGCAAGTCTGAGCTCGTTTTTTGCTTTAGCCTTGCGGACCTTTTCCCTACAGGTGTTGGCTATTTGTTTGAATTCTTCTTTGGTGATTTCTCCCTTTTTCCACTTCTTGTGCATGTCTCTTTTGTGTCTTAGCACAGTTAGAAGTTCTTTGGACATCCATTCTGGCTTCTTTGCACTTGTCCTATTTTTTCTCTTTGTTGGCACGGTTTGCAATTGCGCCTTGAGTATTTCACTCTTGAGAAATTCCCATCCATCCGTAACTCCCTTGTCTTTTAGTATCTGTGTCCACGGAATGCTGCTCAGTGTTTCCTTCATTTTTTGAAAATCAGCTCTCCTAAAGTCCAAAATGCGGGTTTGACTTGTCTTAGTTTCGGCCTTCCTTTGTACCTCAAATTGCAGGAGCACATGGTCACTTGCCCCTAAGGATCCTACCACTTCGAC